ACTGGACTGATGGAGCGACAGCCCCGCTCCGTCTTGGCTTTCAGCCCTTTCTAGGCCTTCCTCGTGGGATGGCCTTCTTCCAGGCCTGTGGGCTTGTGCTGGAAGACTGGCTTGTACCTGGTGGCTAGCCCCGGCACACTTTCTCTCTCTTGATCTTGTTGTGTCTGGATAGCAGCGACCTGTCAAGTTACCATTTGCAGAAAAGGCCTTAGGTCTGGACCTCCCTCTTTGTGACAGAGATCTGCTTTCTGGAACATGTGACTCTTGGGGGTCACCTGGCTCCTGACTCTGGCATGCACGGAAGTGGTGGAGGCCATGGCACCGACCGGGACTGGATGAAATACCTAAAAGCTTTTTTTTCCCAACTCAGAGATTTTCTTTCCACTTGACCTGCTTCTCCAAATCTAATTTGTACTTTTTGAAGCCAGCTGTGGTATAAAGGTTGCTTTGCAGTGAATTGTTTGGGATTACACAGACCATTCCATCAGGCATCCACAAGCTTGTAAGCCTGGCCCTGACCAGAGACTTTAGAAATACCCTGTGTCTTTATTCAGTTTAGACAATATCTAAGCACTTACTTGGGTTATAGAAAGTTCAAATGTACACAAAGGTGTATTAGAACGCACCTCCATGTACCCATCACCCCATTACCAATTAGTTTGTGGACAATCTCAAGGTCCCCCACACCCTGCCCCAGACATATACTAGGCCATATTAACACAAGTCCCAGCTACCACATCATTGGGCCTGTAACCGATCGAATATTTGTCTCTAAAAATGAGATGGCCTTCTTTAAATTTTTTTAGATTTATCTATGTTATCATTGTATATGCATTGCATACCACATGTGTGTTTGGAACCTGTTGAGTTGAGGGCATCGGATACCCTGGAACTGGAGTTATGGGTAGTTGTGATCTGTCTTGCAGGTACTAGGAATCACACCCAGGTCCTGTGCAAGACTAATAAGTGCTCTTGGCTGTTGAGCCATCTCTCCAGCCTGAGGTCACCTTCTTTTTTTATATAAATTTACTTATTATACATCCCAGGCACAGTTCCCCTCCCTCTTCTCCCCCCCACCCTCCCTGCCATCCCCCCTCTGTTCCCACCCCTTAATCCACTTCTCCATTTCTGCTTAGGAAAGGGCAGGTCTCCCATGTGTATCAAAACCCATGGCATATCAAGTTGCTTTAAGACTAAGAACCTCCCCATGTATTAATACATGTATTAATACATCAGGAGAAAGGATTATAGAGCCAGAGGGGTCAAAGACACCACAGAATCAACTAACCTGGGCTGTTAGGGGCTCACAGAGACGGAACTGACAACCAGGGAGCCTGTAAGGGACTGGTCTATGCCCTCTGCTACAGTTGTGTAGCTTGGTTCTCTTGTGGGACTCCTAACAGTGAAAACGGGCTATCTATGACTCTTTTACAGGCTTTTGGGACCCTACTCCTCATACGAGGTCACCTTCTTTTTAACGTAACTGCAGTAACACTGTCATCTGGCTGGCCTGGTAAGGAAAGCCTGAAATCTCAGCATTTTGGGGATTGAGGTAGAAGGTTCTTGAGTTCTAGACCAGCCTGGGCTATACAACAGAGCAAGATCCAGTCTCTAAAGCAAAATAAAGATAATTACAATGAAAGCATTACATTCCATGAATTTCATCAAATTATGCCCCAGTGCCCACATTTCTTAGATCCCTCATCTATTGTTTAAAAAACACAATTGGTTGGGTTAGGTGTAGTGGCGTGCACTTTTAATCCCAGCACTTGGGAGGCAGAGGCAGGTGGATCTCTGTGAGTTCAAAGCCAGCCTGGCCACACAGTGAGTTCAGGCTAGCCAGGGCAATACAAAGAGTCTTTCTGCATTGAAAGACAAAGGTCTCGTTGGGTGGCGGTGGCGCATGCCTTTAATCCCAGCACTCTGGAGGCAGAGGCAGGTGGATATCTGTGAGTTCGAGACCAGCTTGGTCTACATGAGCTAGTTCCAGGACAGCCTCCAAAACCACAGAGAAACCCTGTCTCAAAAAAAAAAAAAAAAAAAAAGAAAAGAAAAGAAAAGAAAAATACAAGTCTGAAATTGTTTTTAGTCGACCTTCCCCCTCTGTATTTATCCCCAGCAGCAGTAATTGAAAAGGGTGCGTCAATTGTCCCCACTGGCTCTCCATGTCCTACTGCTGTTCATCACATCCCTGTGTGGTGTTTAATTGTCTCTCTGCTCTTCCTCTGAGCTCAGAGCAGGGAGTGCCTTCACCTATATTCACCCTCTCTCTTCCCTTGGGAGCATAGGGATCACAGTGCCTATTATGCCTGGCTTCTCTTACCAGCTGACCAACACACACCTCCATCTCCGGGCCTCTGAGGTCCATGTTTCTGGTCTATGGTGATCTTTCTTAGACCATTCTGAGTATTTTAAATTTAAAGGTTTGTTTGTTTGTTTGTTTTTTTGTTTTTCGAGACAGGGTTTCTCTGTATTGTTTGGAGGCTGTCCTGGAACTCGCTCTGTAGACCAGGCTGGTCTCGAACTCACAGCGATCCGCCTGCCTCTGCCTCCCGAGTGCTGGGATTAAAGGCATGTGCCACCAAAGCCCGGCAAATTTAAAGTTTTATCATTTTTTAATTATGTGCATGGGAGGAGCAGGGAATGTGTGCTGTTGCCTGCTGAGGTCAGAGGTGTTGGATTTCCCTGAAGCTGGAGTTACAGAGATTTATGAGCTATCTGACATGAGTTCTGGGAACCAAACACAGGCCCTTTGCCAGATCAACAAGTGGTCCTAACCACTGAACCTCCACTCTAGGCCTTCACTTAGACTTTTCATTTACCTTTGCAGGTACTCACCATGCTTCTACTGAAAACCAGTTCTTCCCCTAGCATGCAAAGCTGCAGGAAGCACCTTTGTACTCACTTTCAGGAGTAGGTGTGTGATTGCACGCCTGTCATACCCCTAGAAACATCCCCTGGGTCAAAAGATGCACACACTAACTACAGAAAGCGGTAAACACTATACCTGTGGCACACTGTGACATGTGCTGTCTTTTTTAGGTTTGTTGCTGTTAGTGGTGGTGTTATAGTTTTTAAAATTTATTTCATTTTATGCATATGAGTGTTCATCTACATGTATGTATGCACACCATGTGTACACAGTGCCTGTGGAGGCCAGAAGAGGGCGTCAGATCTCCTGGAACCAGAGTGAGTTAAAGACAGTTGTTAGCTGTCACATGGGTACTAGAACTGAGCCTAGGTCCTCTGCAAGAGCAAGGAGAGCCCTTCAGCTGAGCCATCTCTCCAGCCCCAGTCTTTAGCTTTTGGCAGTCTGAGAATTGAGCGTGTTACTGCATTTGCAGTAACTAAAAAGCCCAGACCATTAGTAGATAGCTGTATTTTCATTCCTCATCATTTCTCCCAGGAATGGCTCATTCCATGAGTTTTTCTTATTAAGTAGGAGAAGTTTTGTTATAAATGGTAGTCTTTTGGTGCTCTGCAACAAATGTGTCTCCTGATACATTACTTTTCTTTTATTTTGGTCGACATCTATCTCAAACAAATAAAACACAAGATGAGGTGCTGGAGAAATGGCTAAAAGCATGGGCTGCTCTTGCAGAGGACTTGAGTTTGGTTACCAGGACTTACATGATGGCTCACAATCATCTGTAATCCCAGGTCCCTGGGGTCCAGTGCCTTCCTCTGGTCTTTGTGGACACTTCATGTACGCAATGCATTTACATACAGGCAAAAACATGCATTCACATAAAATAAAAATAAATCTTTAAAAGAAAAACAAGGGTCTGGTGCTGCTGTCACCCTCTATTAATCCCAGCACTTGGGAGGTAGAAGGAAGGTGAATGTCTGTGAGTTCTAGGCCAGCCTGGTCTACATAGCAAGTTCCAGGACAGCCAGGGTTATACAGAGAAATTCTACGGTCTCACTCACCAGTTCTGGGATCACAAGTGTATACCTCCAAACCTGGCTACTTGTGCGGCTACTGGGGATTGAATTCAGGCCCTATGATTATTCAGCGAGCACTTTATTAGCATAACCATTTCCTCAGCCCCCTGAGAGAAATACTTTTGGTCTGGGGACATTTCTCCTGTTCCTAGCAAACCACATGGAGCACTTATGAGAAACCAACATGAGTAACCAGGTTCCTGTCAAGACTTTAAAAACAAAAACAATTTTATTACTATAAAATTACCTAATATTATCTCATTTAAATTATTTTCGATGTATAGAACTGTTCAATCATCACATCCTAATATTAAAATATTTCTGTCACCCCAGAATTATTCCTCTTGTCTGTCTGTTATCATTCTGTCCTTGGCATGACAACATCGTCAGTATGAGGACAGACAGACAGCATCCCTAAGAAATCATCTGCTTGTGAATTCAGAGCCAGTGTCTCCAGCAATATGTACTCACAGGCCTGTGTGACAAAACTTTTCTCAGAGAGACACACTTACATATCTGCTTACCCCAGATGGGAAGCTCATGACAGACTAAAGTAATATCACCAGATAACAACTTGGTGAACCATGGGTTTCATTGGGGTTACTTATGGGAATATTTACAGGGTTACTTCCTGTAGTGCAAATGACTCAAAAGACAGCAGCATCACCAAAGCCCACCCAGCCTGGGTGACAACTCATAAAGCTGGGAACCTGGAGCACACTGCACAGCCTGCAGGCAGCTCAACTGGTTGGAAGGTGTCCTTTCCAGGTGCCTCAGTTGGTCTAAACCTCTTCCAGGCAGCTCAACTCTGCTCGTCTGAGAGGGACTCTCAGCTTTTATTGCTGACTCCAGCAGGGAGGGTCCTAGTGAGTCTCGTCAGTTTCAGGGACTTCCTGAAGCTTTTTGAGTTGTCTACCTCCCTCTTTAAGGAGCTTCCTGCAGGATGGACTTTTGTATCTCAGAGGAAGGTGTTGCACGACGGTACTGGGGAGACCTGGAATCGGCTTCCTCCTGAGGGTGCTGGCCATGCTCAGCTCCGATCTTACCTCTTCCAGGTGGATAAAATTTGAAGAGAAGGTAGAGGAAGGAGGAGAACGCTGGAGCAAGCCCCACGTGTCCACACTGTCCTTGCACAGCCTCTTCGAGCTCCGCACCTGCCTGCAGACAGGGACAGTCCTGCTGGATCTGGACAGTGGCTCCCTACCAAAGATCATAGGTGAGGCCAGGGCCTCTCTGCTGTGGTCCCACAAACTAGGGCAATTCCCCCTAGTTTGCCAACCTGCAAGTCCACATGACTGGCCGATTCAACACTGCAAAGATGAGTTTTGACTGAAGCTGTCTAGACAGTCTGAGATGCCCTGGTTTCTACACTGTGCAGACCTCCAACCACTAGAAGAAGAGCATCCTTGAAGTTTGGTTTAGCAAGGCAGCAGGCAGGGAGAATGATTCCTTCAATGGGCAGCAACTACTGTTGCCGTGGCAACTTGTTTCTTTTCAGAGGAAAATGGACCATCTTTATTCTTTTGCAAACTAGCTCCCACTTAATGGAGCAAATGAGGGGGTGGCTTGCCTCTTGTCCCTAAACATTCCTGTGACTTTTATTCTATCTGGTGCATTTGGTTTTGCTCTAGCTATTTTCCCTCTAAAAAAGAATTCATTTTGAACACAGCATCCTGACACACTTTCATAGGTCCTATTCCATGCACTTTTCAGACATAGCATAGACTTCTGTCCACACGTGCACACGCCTGGAGATGCATACGCAACCTTATACATGAAGAGATTGAGGGTGGCAGTCCCAACAGTCAGTGGCAAAGCCGCAGAACAACTTTCGTGTCCCTGATCCCTTTCATATTCAGTCCCAGTAATAGCAGGGCAGAATCCAGACCCCAAAGCCCTGGCCTCTTTCTGTCTCACATGGGCCTGGCTTATTTGTTTCTCATCCAGATGATGTCATTGAGAAGCAGATAGAGGATGGGCTTCTGCGACCAGAGCTCCGGGAAAGGGTCAGCTACGTGCTCCTGAGAAAGCATCGTCACCAAACCAAGAAACCCATTCACCGCTCCCTTGCAGACATTGGGAAGTCGGTCTCCACTACAAGTGAGTAGGGCTATTCGCTGCTGGGCACAGGGCGTGTGGCTAGGTTAAGCCTTCTCAATGACTGGAAGTATCTAACTTCATGATCCTAAAGAAATTCTGAGGTTCTGGGGCTCGCCAGCCTCTTCCTCTGGAAGGTCTGGGGTGAGGGGGACAGCCATACTCCATGCTGTCTCTGACACCAGAGCATGGCAGTTCTTAGGAACAGAGAACTCATGCCCTGTGCTGCACATTGCAATGACTTGAGTCCTTGAAATGTGTCCTAATGCCTACCACCCCTCACTCCCCACCCCCACCCGGAGATCGGGATTCTGTAGTTCTGGAATACATCCTGGGAAAGAGAGACAGGCTATAACCTCGCAGCAGACCCACACAGCCTGTAGGGATGCCTGGCTTAGGAAAGGGTCTGGGCTTTCCACTAAGCCCTGCCCCTGTGAGAAGCCAGAAACCTTCATAGAAAACAGCACAGGAAGATGTGTGAGCACTGAGGTCACCTCAAGTGTGCCAGGGCTGACTTCTGGTGTCATTATGATTAGCAAAGCCTGGGGCCACTTGGGGAGTGTAGACTGTCCACTCCAGCCATTGGCTCTAGATATTTGAGAAGTCTGAAGGCACTAGCCCTGGTCAGCCCAGCAGACAAACATAGAAGCCAGCGAGTGGCAGAATTGGAGATTCTAAAGGTAGGCAGCCTGTTGTACCCAGTGTTGATTTGACCAACCGTGAATTCTAACTCCGTTTCAACTGTACAAATATTTACCTGGGCCTTCTGGAAAATCAGCCAGTGCTCTTAATCACTGAGCCATCTCTCCAGCCCAATTCCCATGTAAGCTTATTCACACCATGCCTTTAAAAATATTCTTGGAAGGGGGGATGTCTTGTAGTAGCTTTGTTTACTTTGAAGTGAGTACACAGCCCCTGTGCTAACCAGAGAGGCTGCAGCAGCAAGGATTCTGGAGTCACCTGACTTCCTTCCCCTTCCAGATCGCAGCTCTGCCAGGAGTCCCTCAGCAGGCCCAGCTCTCCACCGATCCACCGAGGACTTGAGGATTCGGCAAAGCACCAGCTACGGACATCTGTGTGAGTGTTCTCTGCTGATCAGGGACAGCAGCACGCCATCTGTGGCAGCTGTGGAACGTCCACATGTCCATAGATGGTGAGGGTAGAGCCCAGGATTCTAGCTTGCCACCAGGAGGGCTGGAGAGATGGCTCAGCGGTTAAGAGCACTGACTGTCCTTCCAAAGGTCCTGAGTTCAATTCCTGGCAACCACATAGTGGCTCAAAACCACCTTGAATGAGATCTGATGCCCTCTGCTGGCATGCAGGCAGAAGATTGTATATGTAATAAATAAATAAAATATTTAAAAAAGATACCACCAGGAGAAAACCAGATATCCCCCTAAACCTTGGCTTGTCCCTGGGCCTGATTTACCACTGTAGTACCCCTTGCTAGACACAAGCACAACCAAATGTCATCAACACTGACCTCATGTCTCCTAGGCATGTTTATCTCAGTCAAAACTCCTGTTCTCACTAACTCAATCACTGTCCTGTTTCCTGGTGAGAACCCTTCCTGGTAATGGTATTAAAGGCAGGTCCTTGGGGATGAAGGTGCAGCATTGGTAGTGGAGAGCTTGCCTGGTGTATTTAAAGCACCATGCTTGATTCTCAGCACCACAAAATGAAATAAAAATCTGGTTGGGTACAGTGGCTGAGGCAGAAGGATTACAACAAGCTCGAGGCCAGTCTGGCTTATGTAGTGAGTTCCAGGCCAACCTGGGTTACAGAGTGAGATTCTGTCTCAAAACAAACATCCACCCAAGTCCTTTGTGGAAGGGCACACAAGATGCCCCTCACCACCACAAAAGAGAAACACGTGCGTGGTCAGTAGCAGTGATCAGGGGACTCTGAGGACCGCGGTCACAGACAGGCTTTTCCAAGCTCTTTCGTGGTGAGCAGTCATGTGAGCTGTGGGTACAGCGGCACATGCCTATAATCTCAGTGCTCTGGGGTTGGAAGTGGGAGGATTCAGAGTTTGAGGCCTATGGGGGGGCAGAGAGAGAGAGGGAACTAGCAGCAGGTGATCAGTCTTTCCCCCCTCTGTCCTAATGTTTGATTCCTCTCAGTATCCCCGCCCCCACCTACTCCTGTCAGTACGACCCCCCCATCTACTCCTGGCCTTGTTATTTCTCATATGGTCAACAGGGGGCAGTGGTGAGTAGGCAGAAGGTTGCTCTGGAAAGAGTTCTGTTCAACTAGCCCTGTGTATGAAGACACTCCTGTTCAGCAATGCTCGGGCATCCCCAGACAGGAGGCATGATTATCGCTTTGTGACCCAGTGCACAGATGACGATGGGGAAGCCTCAGAGAGGAGACATGCAACCGAGTCTTAGAGAACAGAAAAAAAAAAACCCTTTCATTAGAACATTTTGTTCTGGAAATCCAGGGCCAGGGAAGGGGCTTCTAGGAACAAGGGGAAACGTCTAAACCCAGGGTACAAGCAGCAGCTGATGGAAGTTGCTGTTGAGGAAAAAACATCCACTCAGCTCTCCAGTAGCGTTAGGTTCAAAGTCAGACAAAAGAAGGCCTCGTCATTCATCCAGAAACCCAAGGACATCACCCTGAAGGTAAGGGGGACCCTGGAGATCTGGAAACAGGTGTGCTGTAGTCAGAGAGAGAATAAGGAGTCTGGGCATGAATTCAGTAGAGGGGAAAGATGGAAGTAGAGAATAGCAACTGGTGGGAAGGGGGAGGGGGAGCCAAGACTGCCTCCCAGGATGTTAAGTGGCCAGTGGGCAGCATGCAGGGAATGCTGAGTGAAATACATCTGGAGGGAGATTTTGTGGAAGATGCTGAACTGGGTTGCTAGACGGGGGCGGCTCCAAGGCTCTGACTCTCAAGAGAGATGGAACTCAAGAGAGATGCATTCTGTGTGTCATATCACACACACACACACACACACACACACACGCACGCACGCACGCACGCACACGCACGCGCACACGAACGCACGTAGAAGCGATCGCAGTGGCTGTGACTGACAGTGTTGCAGTGTGAGAGGCTTCTGAGGGAATGATGGCAAAAATAAACCCCATGAAGAGTCAAGCAGAAAAGGATTCTGGGAAGTGAGTGGAGGAGAGCAGTGTTCTAGAAGTAAAGCCAAGGAATCATAGGGCAGAGCATGCCCACTGGACTACACTGCTAATGGAAAATGAGAATGGTTTCCAGAGGCAGGAGCTCTTGGCAAGTCAGTTCCTGTACTGTCCCTGTCTCTCCATGGACTCTGCCATCCAGTTTTTAAAAACTTTCATGGGTCCAGAAGGCTAGAGATGAAACTGGTCCCTTTCACCAAGTTCCAGGCTAGTGATACCTGGCACCTCATCTGAAAATACATCTCTATGTCCCCTCTAACCTGAGTGCGGCACAGAGCTGTACTTGGAATAGGAATCTCAGTGAGGGCTAAGAAGGCGGGGCCAAAGGCTAGAGACAAGCATGCCATAGCTTGACAAATGAGTAGACATAGAGCCTGGGGTCTAGCTGCTTATTCAAGCAAGCTGCCATTGAAGGTTAGGAGAGTGGGGATGCCAGCTGAAGGGGCTGCAGAACCGAGGGAGGGGGGCCTTGCTGTGGTTGTGAATGTAGAAGCATAGAAAGGGCCGAGCACTGGTGAAAGCCTGGCTTCCCCTGACAGACTTGCTTTCCTGTCTCTCCTAGGTCACGCCCAGAGTAGAAGCATGAATGACATCTCTCATACCCCAAACACAGACCAGGTAGGATAGCGCTGCCCTAGACTCAGAGGCAGGCAGGGAAGGAGGAAGCCTTTGGTGTCAAGAGCAGAGAGCCTTGAAAACCTCTCCACAAGGGACCAGACATCCCCCAGGACTAAGAACTTAGAAGTAACCTAGGGACATTTGTATCATCAGATGGCTCTGGAGAAGAGAAGTCATAAAGACAGAAGGTGGAGTAGCTTGAATAGAGGATTACTTGGGGACACTAGACCCGATCACGCCATCTGTTTGACCTTGCCCTGGAAAGCTGGTAGCCAGGTAGTGTAGTGATGAGGACATGCCCCATCTCAGTAGGGCTGAAGTGTTACCCCCTTCATGGTCTAAATCTTAAAGTCTAGGAACTATGAGTTCCCCCAGGAGGTCCCCTTGGGGGGAACCTGGAAGCATGGAAGTCTCCTGCATCCTTGGAGACTGGTCCAGGGATTTCTGTGAGTAGGGAAGCAGGACAAATGGCAGAGACCATCACAACTGACTTCTCTCAACCACCAAAGATGAAGACCTAGAGGGAGATCTGGGCAGCTTACCACTGAGTTCCAACAAAGGAGGTTGTAGGTGGGAGCTAGGTTCAGCAAGCCCAGGGCTCTTCTCTGACCCCTTGACTCACACGGCAGTGGAGTGAGTGTCTTAGGGTCTAGTGCATGACTGGATCCTACCATCCATGAAGGCGTAATTGGTCTCGGGTTAACAAGCATTGAGTCTCGCCATCTCCCGAGCTGTAGAGAATATTTGGTTATTTATATCAGTCTGTTATAATTTCTGTGGGAACTGTATTCTCTGAAGTGAGAGTAAGAGCATGCCAAACCTTCTTGGCTGTGTCATTTTCCTCCTGGGCAGCGGAAAAACAAATTCATGAAGAAGATTCCCAAGGACTCAGAAGCCTCCAACGTGCTTGTGGGCGAGGTGGACTTCCTGGACCAACCATTCATTGCATTTGTTCGTCTTGTCCAGTCTGCCATGCTGGGAGGAGTGACAGAAGTGCCTGTCCCCACCAGGTGAGTCACTGAAAAGTGCCACCACGCCTGTCTTCAGGGAGCCACTCACCATGCAGTCAGCAAGTAGGGGTGTCCTTTTAATGATTATAGAACGAGTATAGTGGTGGATGCCTTTATCCCCAGCACTCAGCAGCCAGATCTCTGTGGGTTCAAGGTCAGCCTGCTCTACACAAGAGAGTTCCAGGCCAGCCAGGGCAACAGTGAGATCCTCACAAGAGAGAAAGGGGTTCGGGGCGGTGGGGGGAGGCAGTTGTGGTCCAGGCAGCAATGCAAATGTAAGGATGCCCAGTGTGGGAAGAAGCAGAAACATTTCTTCAACAAATCAAAGAACGAAAGGAAGATTCTGAGTCAGTGAGATGATTCGGTGGGTAAAGGCGCTTGTCACCAAGCCAGATAACCCGAGTTCAATCCTTGGAACCTACATGATGAAAGGAGAGAAACGAGTCCTACAACTAAATTGTCTTCTAAACCTCCACACGTGTGCTGTGGCGTGTGTGCCATGGCATATGTCCATGCACACACATGCATACAATAACTAGCTAGCTAAATAAATGGAAAAAGGAAAAGCCAGGTTTTGTGGCCCTTGTCTGTAACCCCAGTCCTTGTTGAGGTAGAGGCAAGAGAATCAGGAGTTCAAAGTCATCCTTGACTACATAAAGAGTTTGATCTTGGGTTATGTGAGGCCCTGTCTCCAAAAAAAAAAAAAAAAAAAAAAAAAAAGCAGTAATATGAAGTCTTGAGATGACTCAGTGGCTAAAGGTACGTGCTGCTCTTGCAGAGGACCTGAGTTCAGGTCCCAGCACCCATGTTGGTAATCACCTGTGACTCCAGTTCGGGGATCCAATGCCCTCTTCTGGTCTCTGCAGGCATTGCACTCTAATACACATACCTTTTTACAAACAAACACGTAACTTAATGATTGAGGATGTATTTGGGGAGTCCACAAGAGCCCAGAATAAAAGGAAGTCAGGTATTTATTGGGGAGTCACTCACAACTGACAAAGCAAGGTAGAGAACCGCCGAGGTCTTCTGCCCTTAGCTGCTGTAGGCTACCATCAGCCTTCAGACCACAACCCAAGAGAGCTTGCTCCAAGCCCACGTGTAGCCTGTGAGCCCCGCCCCGAAGGGGCCGGTACCTTAAAGGCTGAAAGAATTACCGCAACAAATGACGAGTTTTAAAAGCTTCAAAGGAGGGAAGTTAAAAAGTAAACAGTGGATGCATTGAAGGCCAAAGTGTTCTTCTCCTCATCTGTTTCTATTTTCCCCTCCTTGTTTCTTCTTCCTCCTCTATCTTTGCAGATTTCTGTTCATTCTTCTAGGACCCTCCGGGAGAGCAAAGTCCTATAATGAGATTGGCCGAGCTATTGCAACCCTCATGGTGGATGACGTAAGTGAGACTCTGAAGCGGGAACGCCTCCTTTCTGAGTGCTAATAGCTGTGGTACTGGCACAGCCTTCCCACTCCCCATCATCACAGGTTATCTAACAAATACAGCGGAGCCCCTGCTGTGTACCAGGGACCTAAGGATTATGAGATACAAGGAATAGACCCAGACCTTCCCGTGGAGGAGCACTACCCAGTGAGATCTGTAACGATGAGATTATTATATATGATATTATTATAAAAATAAAAAATAAAATCAGCCATTGCTAGCTGCCTGGGGGAACTGAGACAGCAGAGCAGGAAGCAGGTAGACCGCCATGACCTTGGGATGCTAGCCTTCTGGACAAAGGGAAAAGAAAAGAGGAAGGTTTAAAGAAGCTGAACTGAAGTGCCACATGTAAGCTCGGTGTGAGCCCTCTGCAAGGGCAAGCCCAGTGAGCTGATCCAGAGGCCATCCAGACCCTGGGAGAAGAGCCTGAAGGTCCTGCTCTATCTCCAGAGTGACGGGGAGGCTGGAGGTCTTTAAACTCAGACATAACCCCAGCAAATCTATAAGTCTTTTTGTAACCTGACCCTTCCAGGGGGCATGTCTGAGCAGTAATGAATGGATTTGAAAATTGGAACTTCTCAAACTGGGCTCTGCAGAGACTTTCTCGTGTGCTTTCTCTGTGGTAAACAGAAAAGAAAAGTCGAGGGTCCTCACAAAAGTCCTGCAGAGGTGTCCCCAGGGTGGGTTGCTGTCTAGGCCAAGTGTGCCCAGGTTCTTTGGCTCTTACTCAAAAGACTTGAAATAAAGCCACACAGAGATGTACAGAAGCAGCAGGGGGCCTTGATTCAAAGCAAAGCAAAGTTCTCTTTGTAAGGCATCAGAAACCAGCAGGGCCACCTGTGAACAGCTATAAAGTACACTGTCAAGAGTACAGAGGGACACATGAGTGAGGGGACCCAGGGACCCCAATTATTGCAGAGGGCTTCTTTTTATGGGTTTCAAGAGAAGAGTGTGGTTTGGGTGGTTATTTCTGAGTGACAGATTAAATTATATAATCATCTTCCTGTAGTGAATGTCCCTCCCCATAACACATCTGATTTGTATTGCACACACACCCAATTTTGCACAGGTATGAAATGATAAGTAGGGGAGTCTCCCTAGAAGTTCACTTGGAGGACACGGTTTGACTTATTACACAAAATTAGTTGAGGCCTGATGGACCTCCCTGCTTTCTTGTCCCCACACGTGGAGAGGACCATTGAACAGAATCTGTCTGTGCTGATGGTTATTACGGGAGGAGACAGTTCCACTGTTCGATGTGTGTACAACTCGGTGCCGGAGGGGGCCCTACATTGCTAATAGGTTGCTAGGTGCATGTACAGAAAGGGAAGTGTGTACGTAGCACATGCAGGTAAAGGCCCTAGACTGTCAAATGCGCTATTAGAAGAAGTAAGTGTGCTGGGTGGTGGCACACACCATTAGTTCCAGCACTCAGGAGGCAGAGACGGGTGGATCTCTGAGTTCAAGGCCAGCCTGGTCTACAGAGCAAGCTCCAACACAGGGCTATACAGAGAAATCGTGTCTTGAAAAAAAGAAAGGAAAGAAGGAAGGAGGGAAGGAAGAAGTGAGGGGGGGAGGAAGGAAAGGAGGGAGGGAGGAAAGGAAGGAAGGAAGATAGGAAGGAAGGAAGATAGGAAGGAAGGAAGATAGGAAGGAAGGAAGGAACTTAGGCCAAAGCAGGAGTCCCAGGTTGATAAGCTATCCCTATGCTTGCCTGTCTCTAAAGTATGACAGCGACCTGGGTTTCAGCTCTGAGATGACTGCCTGCTCTAAGATCTAGCTCTTTCCTGTTGTCCCATTTCCCTTACTGTCCTTTGTCCTTATCGACCCACTGAAGTCAAGTTGGCATCTGGAGCAGTGGCTAAAATGGGCTCCTTTAAAAGAGGCTGTGATGTGCTAATTCCTAGGAGGGGAGAGCTGAGCCTCTTCTCCTTCCTCTCTTCTCTCCTTCCTCGTTCCTCACCAGCTCTTCAGCGATGTGGCTTATAAAGCCCGGAACCGAGAAGATCTGATTGCAGGAATTGATGAATTTCTGGATGAGGTCATTGTCCTCCCCCCTGGAGAATGGGATCCAAACATCAGAATTGAGCCACCCAAGAAAGTTCCCTCAGCTGACAAGAGGTGTGTGTGTTAAGGATAAGAACGTCGGAGGGCACCCCACACCAGCCTTTTGTTCTCTTTGTAAGGCATCAGAAGCCAGCAGGGCCGCATGTGAACAGCTATAAAGTCGGGAGTGGGGGGGGGTCAGAGTAGGTGAGGGGCATTGAATCATTTTGTCTTTGTGGTGTGTGTACATGGGTGTGCGCGTGCATGTGTGCGCGCGCGTGTATGTGGAAGCCTGAGGTTGATGTCTGGGAATTTTTTTTCATTGCTCTTCACCTTATTCATTGAGGCAGAGTCTCTCAATGAAGTCGGCGCTGGCAGATTTGGCTAGTCTTGATCGTTCTGGGGTTCCCCTGTGGTGGAACTGCAAACGGCTGCCTTGCCCACCTGACCTTCACGTAGCTTCTGGGAATCCCAGCTCTTGCCCTCTTGCTTGTGTGGCCAATGCTTTGATAGCCGAGCATCTCCCCGCCTCCATCTTCATTTCCCCTGCGATGTTAAGATATTTAGTAATTTTTTGTTGGAGGGGGAAGGGGACGGTCCTGAGGGCCTGGGCCCTTCCCAGCATTGAGAGCCCTGCTCTCCCCTACCCCCCACTTTCTCTTTCAGGAAATCTGTGTTCTCTTTGGCAGAGCTGGGCCAGATGAATGGCTCTGCGGGCGGAGGCGGTGCCTCGGCTGGAGGAGGCAGCGGTGGAGGAGGGCCTGGAGGCAGCGGGGCCGGCGGAGTGGGCAGTGGCGACGAGGCAGAGATGCCAGCTATGCATGAAATCGGGGAGGAGCTCATCTGGACCGGAAGGTGCCCGCTCCATGCCCGGCAGAGAGCCTTCAACCTTGAACCCTCTCTTCTGGTCCTCTTAGCGATCCTCCCGCTGCTGTGTGCAGCGCCCTCTAGGGACGGGGTCAGACCACTGTAGTCTTTCAGTTTCGTGGGGTGAGAGGAACAAAAGTACCTCCCTCACCCATAAGAAAGGAACCCAAACTTTTCTCTAGACATCCTTTGGCACCCGTGTCAAAAACAATGCACCACAAACAAGTTAGTATAAAACTACTGAAATCCATTTTCACACAGATCGAAATGGAGATGTCAGCAGGGCGCAAGGCCATTGGTGGGTTCTACCTGTGATCCCAGAAGTGGGGAGGCTGAGGCAGGAGTGTTCCTGCAAGTTCCAGGACAGCCTGGGTTATAATGTGAGACCCTGTCTCGGTCCTGCCCTCTAAATAAAGAGGTGCCAATGCCTTTGAGCCTGTGGGTAGAGCCTCCTTTGCCTCCTCGGAGTTCTACTGGCCCCCGAGAGTCTTCCGGCAGTCCTTACCTTGGCAGTAGCATCTCCCGCCCAGTTTTTGTCTGTGTTGTTGTATGGCCTTGCTTGTCCCCATGTGCATGTCTTTGGGTAGTATTGCCCTGTTTCTATAAGGGCTGACTCAGAGCTCACTCTTAATGACTTCATTGTAACTTAGTATAAATCAGCAAAAAACTTTTTTTTGGTGGTCTCATGCAACCCAAGATGACCTCAAGCTTGATACAGCTGAGGATGATATTGAATCAATGATGGCCCTGACCCACTCTCTCCAGAGCTGAACTCACAGGCACCACCGTGCCTGGTTTATAACCCAAAGCTTCATGCACAGTGAGCAAGTAGCTGCATTCCCAACCCAAAGACTTTCTAAATAAAACCATAGTCACCAGGGACTGGAGATAAAATGTATTTTTGTTGTTGTTGTTTTTCGAGACAGGGCTTCTTTGTAGCTTTGTAGACCAGGCTGGCCTTGAACTCACAGAGATCCACTTACCTCTGCCTCCCAAGTGCTGGGATTAAAGGCATGCACCACCACCACTCAGCTTAATGTAACTTTTTAAAAGAAGTACAACCCAATATATAATGGTACATTTTAAATTTTTAGTCTTATTTTACAGTTTCATTTTTCTTTTCTTTGGGAGAGAATGGGAGAAAACTGTTGCCGGGCATTGGTGGCGCACGCCTTTAATCCCAGCACTCGGGAGGCAGAGGCAGGTGGATCTCTGTGAGTTCGAGGTCATCCTGGTCTACAGAGTGAGTTCCAGGACAGCCAGGGCTACACAGAGAAACCCTGTCTCGAAAAACCAAAAACAAAGGCTGTCCTGTTGTGAGTTTTTTGACTGCTCCTGGAGTCACCCAGGTTGACTGGGATTTAGGAAAACCCATAGCAGCACAGGCTTTGTGCTAATGATGATTTTGGGAATAAGCTGTGTGTTGTGACTTAGTTTCTCAGTGTGATAAAATGTTCTGACAAAAGCAACTTAAGGGAGAGAGAGCTTGTTCTGGTCTGAAGTTTAGGTTACAGCCCATCACATCCGGGAAGTTGAAGCTGCAGGAGGTCAAGGGAACTGAACACATTGCAGCCACAGTCAGGCTTCGGAGAACAATAAATTCTTGCTCATTCTCCTGTCACTGTCTCCACTTTGTTCAGCCCCAGATCCCTACCCAGGGAGCAGCCACACCCTCAGTCAACAGGATTCTTTCAAACCAATTGACAAAGTCCAGATAACCCCCAACAGACATGTCCAGAGATCCATCTCCCAAATGATTCTAGCTTCTGTGCAGTTTTCGGTTAGCGCTACCCATCACAGGGTACTTGGGTTGATTAGGGACACGGGGAAGACCATCCCAGTGCAATATTCCTATCAGAACGACCTTCTCTTCAACAGTTTGTGTCCACCCTCCCCAGCATGGATGGTGCCAACTGCAAACTTTCAGGCTGACAAGAAGCCTGTCTGATTCTCAGTGTCCTGTTAGAAAGATTGTGACTCCATATACCCCTGGTCCTCACCCCAGACTTTATAGGGCCCTGGAGGCATCCCTTCCCCTCTTGGTGTCTGTAGAGGAAAGCAGTCTCCTGCCTGTCTCAAGCAGGTTCTTTGGGGGACTACGCCTGGATGTCAAGAGGAAGCTGCCCTGGTTCCCAAGTGACTTCTATGACGGTTTCCACATCCAGTCCATCTCTGCCATTCTATTCATCTACCTCGGCTGTATCACCAACGCCATCACCTTTGGTGGGCTTCTGGGGGATGCCACAGACAATTACCAGGTGAGTATGAGCTGGGGGCAGACCCGCAAACACCAGCCAAATTTACTGCCACCTGGTGGCAGTAAGGAGCTTCACTTTGTAATCCCAACACCAAGATTGCATGTACCGCCCTGAATCTGGCCATTTCTTTATAAAATAACGATTTTAAGAGTAATGTAAATAGTCTGAACTTTTAGGAAAATCACCCATGTTGCGGTTCATTCCTTCCCCACTGATATTTAATTAACTCAATCACCACTCTTAATTAAATTGGCTAATTGTGGCCTTCTCCTTACATTTTAATTTTATGTTTTCTCCTTACATCTTAATTTATTTTTCTCCTTACATTTTAATTTATTTTTAAAATTACTTGATGTGTATGTGTGTTTTGCCTGCATGTATGTCTGTGTGCCATATGCATTCAGTGCCCATGGAAGCCAGAAATGGCATCGGGTTCCCTGGAACAGGAGTTATAGGGTGTTGTGAGCTTTCCTATGGGTGCTGGGAACTAGATGAGCAATCAGTGCTCTTAACCCCTGAGCTATCTCTCTATCCAGTCCCCTCTATTTAAAAAAGCTCACATTGATTTCATTTATGGAATGAGAGTTAAGTCGTTGCCATGAGAGCATCGTGAGCTTCCCTGGGGAAGGTACTGGCCTCATAGAGACGCACACAAGTTTGCCACCAAGGGTCTTCTCCAGTGGGGGCCTCTGTGCAGAACCATTAGGCAGCTCAGAGCAATGTCAAGCTTGGGAGCCCTGCCCTACAATCTCAGCTACTCAGGAGACTGAGGGATCAGAAGTCCAAAGCCTGCCTGGGCAACTCAGCATTATGTTGTCTCAAAACAACAACAATATACCAGGCTATGGTGATGGGACACATCTGCAACCCCAGCACTTAAAATACATAGGTAGAAGGATCAGGAGTTCAGGCAAGCCTCTGCTACATACTAGGCTGGAGGCTACCCTGGGATACATTCGACTCTGTCTCAAAATATAAAAAGTAAGGAACAGGCTGGGTGTAGTGATGCATGCCTTTAATTCCAACACTTGTAAGGCAGATCTCTACTGAGTTTGAGGTCAGCCTGTTCTACACAGACAGTTCCAGGATAGCCAGGGCTACATAGGGAGAAACTTGTCTCAAAATAACAGCAACAATAAAAAAGTAAGGAACTTGTTCTGTGGATAAAAGCACCTACAGTGCAAATTTGATGACTTGAGTTAGACCCCCTGTGCCCACAGCAAAAGGAGGGAAGACTCCTAAAGGTTGTCTTCTGTAGGGAGAGATTTTTACGTATCTGAATTCCACACTTGTACATGTATGTGTGTGTGCACATGTACACATGACATACACATGCACAATAATAATGATAGCACATAATTTTTTAAGATATTAAATTTTAAAATAGAAAAATGGCAAGGATCTAGCTCAGAGGTTTCCTAGCATGTTCAAGGCCGTGAGTTCAATCCCCAACACTTGCAAGACAACATAAAATCTCAGAGCACCATGGAAAAGACCCGTTTTCAGATGTGGAAATGAACTTCTGTTGTTACCCACATCTGTCTCCCAAGCTCCAGGTCCATGCCCAGCTGTCTCCTGGGCATTCCTACGTGGCTGCCTCCCTGAATCCCCTGGATCACACTGATAACATGGCATCTACCATCTGCCATCTGCCATCTTTTCTTTTCATTGGATGCTCGTGATTCTTTTCCAGCATAACATGTAACGTGCCTCACCCTGCTATCCCTGACAGAAGCTAGCATTGCCCTGAACTACATGCTTGTCTGTCAAGCCTTGTCTCCGTGTTCTCGTCCTCAGCATCCTGTCCTTCGTACAATGTGTTTTCTGTTGACCCCGATACCCTCAGTTCTTTGGGACACACTCCCTTCTGCCCCTGCCTTGGTGTGCACTGTCCCCTCCCTGGGGCTGGTTGTTCTGCAATCCAGCTAATGCACATCTCCGAGCCAATACTTGCTTGTGCTTGGGTCCTCAACTCTCACCTATCTGTCTGGAGTGACCTGCTTGGTGACCCCTTCTCTTCTGCTGTGAGCTTTTCTGCCACTGGGAACCCATGCCAGCATCCCACTCCTTGGAAGTGACTCTCAACCAGGGGCAGTTTTGACCCCAGGGGACATTTGCCCATATCCACAGCTGGACTTGGCTTTTATAACTGGAAGGGACAGTGAGTATTGGCATTTAGTGACTACAGGCCAGGGATGCTGCTCAGTAGCCCACAAGGTACAAGGTAGCGCCCACAACTGAGAATCATGTACCTAAATCATCAATAAGGCCTAGGTTTAAAAGCCCTAAAAAACTAGCTGCTTATCTTCATGTTCCACTAACTTGAAAATGTGCTCTATTGTTGACTGGCTGGTCTCTGGTGCCCATCACATTGCTTAGTACATAGCATTCTAAAGATTTATTTATGTTGATTTTATTAACATGACTGTTTTACCTACATGTGTGTCTGAGCACTATATGCTTGCAATGCCTGCAAAGCCGAAAAAGGGCGTTGGATCCCCTGGAACTGGAATTATACTAGTTAGCTGTTGTGTAGATGCTGGGACTGAGCATGTGTCCTCCAGAAGAGCCACAAGTGCTCTTAGCTTCTGAGACATTTCTCCAGTACCTGCTAGGTGGCTTTTGAATGAATGATTTGGTCTGAAGTCTAAAGGCAACCCATAGATGTTTGAAAATGAATGAATAATTACATGAATGAATGACAACAGAAAGGGCCCCCGGGATAAGAATTTTCACTGTTTTGTAGGGCTCAGTATGACAACGGAAGTCCCAGAGAACCGTTATCCAAATGGAATTAGAGAGTGATGTTAGCCATGGCAGGAATGAAAGACGGGAGGTAGGATTGGGAAGAGAGAGCCCACTGACAGGTCAGTGGAGAGGTAGTTAGTCTTAGCCTGTGTAGAGAGGCCCCAGTTGTGTGACATTATTCCTGGAGAGACAGAACAAACATCTCCTCACCCCAGATAGGGAGCCCATGAGAGACCAAAGTAAGGATAACGCCAAAGCTCAACTTGGTGAACCATGAGTTTTTCTGGGGTTACTTACATGGATGAAGGATTACTTACAGGAACAGATATGACTCAAATACCGCTGTATCAGCAAAGCCCACTCCAACGGGTGACAGCACACAAAAGCTAGAAACCTGTGGCACACTGCACAGCCTGCAGGCAGCTCACAGGTTCAAGAGTGTCCTTTCCAACTGACCCAATTGGCCTGAGCCTCCTACAGGCAGCTCAGTTTGTCCGAGATTCTGTCTCTGTAGGCTTTACAGTTTGCATGTGCATGGTGGGTACTGACTAGTGTATCTGTTCAGATTCAGGGACTTCCTGAAGCCATCTAGTTGTATACTTCCTGAGCTTAAGGAGCTTCCCTGCAGGACAGAGAGTTTCACCACCCTTTACGATGGGTTGTTTTACCCCCTTGTAAAAATCCTGTGTCCTAAGAAGCTTCGCTCCAAGATAGGAGGTTTTAATCTCAGAGGAAACTGCCCACCCACCAGCCCCTTCTGCCTCCCTGAGCCTCCTGCTTTCTTACTCGACAGGGAGTAATGGAGAGCTTCCTGGGCACTGCCATGGCTGGTGCCTTGTTCTGCCTCTTCTCGGGGCAGCCCCTCATCATCCTCAGCAGCACAGGGCCCATCCTCATCTTCGAGAAGCTCCTCTTTGACTTCAGCAAGTAGGTACCACATGGTAGGCTCCATGCCTAGTCTTGATTGAAGCAGCTAGCCAAGATGAGGGTGGAGAACAGGTCCAGGCTGGGTGGGGGATGGAGGGGCTTGTTGAGGATGGGCATCTTGAACTGTGGTTGTTGGGTGGTTCCTTTTGACTCCTGTAAACTGCCTTGATGTTCTCAGAGTGCAGATTAGCATATGGGAGCAAGCCAGGCCACACCACTGCTCACTGGAAAGCCAGTGTGGCAGAATAGCCTTGGGCAGGTGCTCATAAGGCTCGGCTGCCTTATGGGTTTGGACTGGACCATTCCCTATGTTACTCCAGACCATTCCCTACCAAGCACCAAGATTCCTGACACTCAGTGAGGTCCCTTCCTAGAATTCTCAAAAGCCAGGCACCCCAGGGCCGGGGAAGTGACTCAGTCAATAAGTGCTTGCTCTGTAAACCTGAAGTTCTGAGTTCAAGCCCCAGAACTCACCCACATGTAACATCTTGTGATCCTGGTGCTTGGAAGGTAGAGATGGGTACGTCCCTGGGAGTCCCTGAAGGGACTCTGGCCAGCTCAAGCATTGCAAACATGGCTCTGGCAGGCCTTGCCCTTCTCTCCCATTCCCTCTGCCTTGCTAAAAACCCTGAGGTTACATTCCTAAGGCTAGCCATCAAGGTCTAGTACCTTATTTAGTCACTTCATCTTCCTGAAGCTGACTACCAAGATCCAGCTATCGAAGTATTGCAGTCCAGCAATAAGAAGCCCGCACTGGTTCACCTAACTAACATGCCCAATTAAAATTAAACACCCCATCCTAACATGCCCCCCCCTTTATCTTTATAAGCCACCATTTGCCTACAGGCCAAGTCTGTCTCCTCTCTATCCAGAGGCAGTCCTTTGTCTGTCCCCCTTTACCCCTCAAACAAATATCCCTTTCCCTTCTCCCTGGTCCTCTGTCTCCTGTCTTTGTCTCTCATTCCCTACCCTCTGTCCCTCTGGAGCAAATAAATCTCCTTTGTGATGAGAACCTGGCCTTGAGGGTCCTGAGCAGATATTTCTCCTTTCACTCTCTACCTGGAGATTTCCACACATGCACACCAACATACATACAAACCCACAAATACACGTGCACACATGCACATAAACACACACACACACACGCGCGCGCCTTTAATCCCAGCACTTGGGAGGCAGAGGCAGGTGGATCTCTGTAAGTTCGAGGCCAGTCTGGTCTACAGAACGAGTGCCAGGATAGGCTCCAAAGCTACACAGAGAAACCCTGTCTTGAAAACCCCTCTAAAAAGAAAAGAAAACACACACACATGCACATGCACACACACAAAACTAGGCAACCCCACCCAGGAATTGTCCCTGTCTTGTCCTAAGGCAGTCTTCTGTGCTACAGATGAGCCACTTGGGGTGGGGCTGGGGAGCCTAGACCAGAGGTCCCTTACTTCCTTTTGCCATCCAGAGCCAATGGCCTGGACTACATGGAGTTCCGCCTCTGGATTGGCCTGCACTCCGCCATCCAGTGCCTTATCCTGGTGGCCACAGATGCCAGCTTTATCATCAAGTACATCACCCGATTCACCGAAGAGGGCTTCTCCACCCTCATCAGTTTCATCTTCATCTACGACGCCATCAAGAAGATGATTGGTGCCTTCAGTTACTATCCCATTAATACGGACTTCAAGCCTGACTCCATCACCACCTACAAATGCGAGTGTGTTGCTCCTGACACAGGTAATCACCAATGCGCACCGCCCCCCCCACGTTCTCAATGCGGGAGGGGAGCTTGTTTGGAGGGGTTGCTTAGCCAGGTGCTTACTGTTCCAAAGGAACACATGCTGGGTGCTTACTTAGTGAAACTGGTCTGTCTACACAACCCAGACTGGCCTTGGCTGTGCTACCCAGCTGGCTGTGAAATTCACAATGCTAACTGCAGAGTCTTGAACCTAATTTTGGGAAAGAATTTGAGGGGATGATAACGGGAGTAAAAGCCACCACATGCTGTGGTAAAAAAACACCCAAGGCTGTAATCAGGAAACTGCAGGGCACTTCAGGAAGAGCAAGGCATGGTTTACCGAAGCATGGGCTGTGTGGAGGTTACAGCTGTCGGCTATGCTGTGCAAGTCAGGGGGAGATCTGATGGTCCCTCCCAGGGCCATTAATAAATGACATACCACTGCCAATGTGGTTACAAACCTTATAGAGTGAGACCAACCCAGGGGACAAGCATCTCCACAGTCACGGTGGGGGGGCCTTGCCTGTCATGCTGTTGGAAGAGTTGGGGAAACTGGCATCATGCAGTCTCCTAGGCATGTGGGCAGGTTGAGAGGACCGTCATGAGGGACCACATCCACCACAGGATGTGGGATGAGAACTGAGAAGTTCCAGGAAGCCAGCTGCTGCCGAGCATAGGGGGAACTTACAGCGGGGAGAGTACTGTGAGAGCTACCAACCCCCTTGCCTGGGAGCCAATTGCTTGGACTGTCTGGCATGCATGTGCCAGCGGGGTTTAAAGGACTCCAGCACTGAGTGGGCTGGAGCTAACATCTGGCCAGCCTGATAATCAATCTTCAGTGCTTTCTGACCAAAGGAATCATCCCCTGCAAAGTGAAGGCCTCCCCAGAGTCGGATCTCCATCACGGTCAGAACCATGCCCCTAGAAGCTGCTAGTGGAACAAAGCTGGAGGGCTCAAGGGAATGCAGAGTAGGGTGCGAGACCTACGCAAGCGCCACTATACTGGCCTGCGGAAAGCAAACTGAGGTCCAGAGGCCACCCACGGCCACACTGAACCTCACTTTCCCTGACAGTCAAAGAGTAATCAGTGTTTATCAGGGATGCCTGGGGGGTTTTCAAATAAGAAGGAAAATAAGTAAATATTAGATTGTTCAATCCCTCATCTTAATGAAAATAAAAAAATAATAAAAAGAATTGATAATGCCAGGGGTGCTGGCACACACTTCTAACCCCAGAACTTAAAAGTCAGAGGGAAGTGGATCTGTGTGAGTTCGAGACTAGCCTGGTGTATGTAGGAAGTTCCAGACCAGCCAAGGCTACGTGCTGAGACCCTGCCTTAAAAATATTGATCTTGCCTTTAATTCCAGCACTCGGGAGACACAGACAGGCAGATCTCTGTGAGTTTGAGGCCAGCCTGGTCTACAGAGTGAGTGCCAGGACAGGCTCCAAAGCTACACAAAGAAGCCCTGTCTCGAAAAACCAAAAAAAAATTTTTTTGATCTTGTCAGTCAAAATTCTGTATTGCAAGTATGGGGTCCTACTTTAGGCTGTGTCTTTTATGAGATGCCCTTCCTGCAGGGGATTACTCACTACACTGGCCTGGAAAGAAGTCTAAGTTTCTCTCTCTGTCTTTTCTTCTTTCTAGCGTTAGTTTTGAATTGTTCTATTAAACAGTGATAGGTGAAGTCTACCCTTTGTACTGGTCCTCGCCTAGATCTCTAAAGAGATTCTGCTACAGGCCTTCTTGATTCTATATGAGGCAGAGTCTTGCCTCAGGGGCCAAGCTTGGTTTTACTACTGTGCTTTTCAGACTCTCGGCCCATGCACTGGGCCCAACCCTGCCTTTTAGAATCATACATCCTTAGCTGGGCATTGGTGGCGCACGCCTTTAATCCCAGCACTCGGGAGGCAGAGGCAGGTGGATCTCTGTGAGTTCGAGGCCAGCCTGGTCTACAAATCGAGTTCCAGGACAGCTTCCAAGATAATACAGAGAAACCCTGTCTCGAAAAACCAAAAAAAAAAAAAAATCATACATCCTTGTCTCTTTTTAGAAAGAGCCCAAACTCAGGGGTCCTGTGAGGAGCTTTGACCATCTGTTCACCTAGAGATGCCCTATGAACAGGGGCTGCAGGAGCATAGACAGTGGTCTTCCAAGGGCATAAAAAAGCTGTTGCCTGTTTATGAATTACTTCCCCACAATTCTTGCCTGATGCCTGATTATCTTGAGTCATCCTCATGGTTCTTAGGGCATGGTCCCAAGCCTGGCAGCATTTGCCCCAACTAGGAACTTAGCAGAAATGCAGAATTGTGGGCTCCAACCCCACACTTGAGAAATCTAGAAACTCTGGGGTAGAGCCCAACTGGCTGTGTATGGACAAGTCTTCCAACGGCTTCAGTTGCCCTCCCTCCCAAGTCTGAAAATTTTTGCCTGACTGAGCTGCGATTAGCTACTAATCCCGGCACGATTTCTCCACAGAGAATAAATGGGCTGGTGTTAACGCCAGTTCATTTTCATTAGGAGAACTTAGATGGTCTGGGCATTTAGAAGACCAGCGCAGTGGGGAGCTAATGGGGGTTTCTGCCCAGTTCATGTGCCGCTGACCACCCTATTTCCTAGCTTTTCTGTGCAGCCCAGTCTAACGATGGCACACTATCCTTCTCTCACATTCTTCATCATACAAGCTTGCTTGAGATACCCTTTTCCTCTTTGATATTTTTCCATGATAACTGATTTGTATTCTGTTTATGGATGCTGCAAATGCTGATTTGGCCGCTCTCAACTTTAAGTGAGTACCACTCTGTGTACACCGGAATTGCACAATATTTGCTACTTGGACCCTTTCTGGACTTCCCCATACTATAGTTCTTCCATCTCGTTTAGGGTTTCAGTCCTTGCTATAAGAGAATTAGTAAGCCCAAGTAGAAGACAAGGTGTCTGTCGTGAAAACACTGGGTGCTGGGGCACTCTTGAGCAGTGGAGTGGGTAACCCCTACTGGGCCTTCTTGTCTGGCTTCTCTGTTCATGATGTTAACCGGGCATCATGTTTTCTTGTGAGAAGAGGCAATAGATTCCCTGATTCCTCACAAGGGAGGCTTTCTTCAGGATGATTCTTAGGATGCAATGCCCTTGGCACTGGTATGCCCAGGGTCAACACTGATCCAGCTGGCCCAGACGTGACCAACTTCTGTGATTAAACCCAGCCCCATGGACAACTTGTTAGAGGCTGGATGAAGCCTCAGGTCTAGGATCTTTTTGCTGCGTGTCAATCCAAAGGTAGACAGCCAGCAGGAACCAATGGGGATTCTACACCACTTCAGACTATAGCACCAACTGCCATCGGTCCCCAAACCTGCCACTCAGGAACTGCTTGGAGGCAGAAGGGAAGAAGCCAGTCTCCCCTCCACTCATGCAGTCCAGAGGAGGAGAGCAGGCAAGCAGGGGTCTTCCAAAGCTGGCCTTCATGATGAGTGGTTACATCACCTGGGGAGCCTGGCCCTATGGGTGATGAGCCCTTCCTACCCAGAAGAGTCAGGAGAGCCAGACACGGTAGAGGGAGAGTGGGAAATGATCTGACTCTTCCAGCTTTCCTCCCAGAGCTCAAGAGGTTGTTAGGTACTCCACTTACAGTTAGGGACACTGAGGTCAGGGAAGGGGCTGCTTAGCAAGGGACGCAGAGTGGACAGTTGGTAGCAAGCAGCACTTTTGGGCTCTGGTTCTCCTTCAGGTCTTAGATCCAGGTTATACTCTTCTTGCCCTGCACTGAAGGTGCATATTAGAGAGGAAAATATCCAAGTAAACACTCTGGTAGGTCTGGCTGGCTTTTAAAGATCATAGAGTGGGTAGGAGAGACGTCTCCATAGATGGAAACTGGGCAGAGTGGGAGGCTGATAGTTACTCCGCCAGTGGCCCGGGATGGGATCATAGCTCCGAGCATGAGCTCTGAGACCTTAGGTAATAGATCACTGAGCCTCAGTTACCTCATCTATAAAATGGGGATACGTCATGGAGATTTTGGGAAATGAACAAATGAGTGCATTCCCAGAATTTGGTATAGTGCATGACATGGAATTCGCTCTCTGAAACATTTTTTTAAAACTTCATGACAGCACAAAATTGTGTCTAGCAGGACTCACAGACACACAGTTGATCAGCTGGTTTCAGCACCCGATTGCTGATATGAGTTGTTAGAATCAGCTGTTGGTCCTCAGGATGAGCTGGTCTGCACAGCGCAGCTGCTCTGTGTGAGTCAGGTGTGCAATTTCCTGCCTTATGGGAGCAGAGCGGGAAGGTGAAGTCAGTAGGAGAGATCTGAGATGGGCAGGGGTGGGGCCCTCAGAGGCTGCAGGCTGCACATCTAGGAACCACTGACCCCGGCCCATGTTCTGTGTCTTCTCCAGTGAATACGACCATGGTCAATGCCTCAGCCCCGCTGGCACCAAACACCAACACGTCTCTGGTAAGCCCTTTCTTATCAGGCAGACTGTTCGTGCGCTTTGTTTAAGGTGGGGGGTCAGGAAGGAGTTGGGAGGTCAATCCCAGGAGCACCTGGGCTCTGCGAACGATGCTTTTAAGCTTATAACTGTAAGCATCCTGCTTAAAAGCATCTTTTGTGCGTGGCATCTCTATGCAGAAATATAATGTGTGCATACCCAGGGGAGGTAGATGATAAACGGATGTATACATATACAGTTTGCGGTTAGTTTCTGCTGGGGAACTCCCAGTTCCCATCCAACAGTGCACTCCCAGATCTGGAAGTTCATTAGCCCGCCCCCAATGAATTTAACCTGTCCTTGGCACCTAATAGTCTCCAGGGACCCCAGCAGGTCTGCCTTCCCAAACAATGGTAAGTGGTGGGCTTCACGCCTCTCTCAGCCTGAGCAGATGGAAGGATGCTAGATTATAATCCAGGTAAAGGGCAGCGTATAGGCCTTGGGGCAGCTTTGTAAACTCTGAGTGTCCCTAAGGATGCTTACACTCCCCTGCACAGGCAGTCAATGGCTCAGCCTATCTCTGTCTCCATTGACCGTGTATCCCAGGCAGGGCCTGCTTACCAGTGCCTGTTACGTGTTAGGTGCTGGGAGGTGGCCTCCCATGCACCCGCTGGGATGGTTTGGTCTGTGTCTTCTTTGCATTGCTTCTTCACTCCTTAGTGACTCCGCAGAGTGGTCTCAGATTTCTAAAAGCGTGAGGACAAAGGTGTGAGGCCTCTTACAGTGGCTCCAAGCAACCCCAACCCCCCCCCAAAAAAAAGCAGCTTTGAGAGGAAGGGTTTATTCAGATCACAGTTCCAGGCTATAGTCCATCACCACAAGGAAGCCGAGGCCACAGGGGCTTGAGGCAGGGAGTCGTATCCAGCCAGGAAGGGAGGAAGAATGAATGCATGTTTAATACAGATGCAACTAATGTTTTATCTGCAACTGCTTAAATTCACATATGTGAGGCCCACAGCTACAAAGGATATAGATTATAAGTATATGTATGTATTTTCACTATTTCACAGTCTCTGAATTTTAGCATCTGGGACACCAAGGGAGGAAGTGGTTGAAATGACCCAAGAAGAGAACAATGAGGATGAGACACAGGGAAAGGAAGAGACGCTAACTGTCTCTGGGAAGGCAGTGTCAGTAGCACCGAGGCTCTCAGCCTGGAACGGGAGACAGACCTACTGAAGGAAATAGCATCTTCCTCCTGCTGTCAAAGCCACATGTCCCAGAAGAAACTGTCCCTAATCTTTCTGGGAGCTGCGTGCCTGTCATTCTTTGGGCAGCCTGCCCCAGGGACACTGCTCTGGTATTAAGGGCACCACCATGGGAAGGAGGGCTAGGGACCTGCAAAGGTTTGGAAGTGAGGTGACCCAGGACCACAGGGAGAAGGACACACTGCCTAATAGGAGGGTTCTGACCCCCTTTCTCCTGTGCTTGGTCTCCAAGTACACCCCCCTTAACCTCACAGCGCTGGACTGGTCCCTGCTGAGCAAGAAGGAGTGTCTGAGCTACGGTGGGCGCCTGCTGGGGGACTCCTGCCGGTTCATTCCAGACCTGGCACTCATGTCCTTCATCCTTTTCTTCGGGACTTACTCCATGACCTTGACTCTGAAGAAATTCAAATTCAGCCGCTATTTTCCTACCAAAGTAAGTATCCCTAGCAGGTATCAGGACTTACATCCAGGGTCTTAAGACAGGCTCAGCTCAGTGAGACAGCACCTCAGGTACAGGTGCTTAAGGCCAAGACTGACAACCTGAGTCATATCCCCAAGACCAAAACCGTGAAAAGAGAGAACCTGCTCCCATGCTTTATTCCCTGACCTCCAAGCTGGGCCAATGGTACCTGTGCTTGTGTGGGCACGCACAATTCTTTTAAAGGAATACTCCCACAGTGTCCCTCCAAATGACTCTATCTTCTGAAAGGATGGACACCAAGGAGGCACTGGCCTGAGGGATTTATACAAGTTAAGACCACAAATTTTGCCCAGCCCAGTGGCCCAAGCCTATAATTCCCAGCTCCATAGAGATTGAGGCAGGAGGATCACAAATTCAAAGCCAGCCTGGGAAACTCCAGGGAGACATGATGTCCTCTACATGCCACCAGAGACCCCAGCACATAGACGCCATTCATTTACACAGACATACACATACAAATAAATAATAAAAATAAAGGTTTAACTATAAGATTAAAGTTTTTTGAAAGAGGGCTAGGAATATGGCTTGGGGTCAGAGTGCTTGTCTTTGATAGCAGGAGGACCTAGATTTTCATTTTTTAATTTGTTTATTTATTTTGGTATTTTTGAGACAAGATAGGGTTTTTCTACGTAACAGCCCTGGCTGTCCTGGAACTCACTTTGTAGACCAGGCTAGTTTTGAATTTATAAACATCTGACTGTGTCTGCCTCCCTCCGGAGGGCTAGGATTAAAGGCATGTGCCATCATGCCCAGCGGAGGCCCTAGATTTAATCTTCAGTATCGAAAAACAAACAAGACCCACAAGCAAGACTTTGGAGGTAGAAAAGTCCAGGTTCCCAGGATAACATTTTCCAACCTTCCTTTTGGCCTTTTGCTTCTTAACTCCTTGTGTTTCTAAATTTTTTTGTTCCCTTGGTGACTGATAAAGCTAAAAAAAAAAAAAAAAAAAAGAAGGAAAGAAAGGAAGAAAGAAAGAAAGAAAAACAGCCAGGTGTTGGTGGCACATGTCTTTAATCCCAACACTCAGGAGGCAGAAGCAGGCAGATCTCTGTGAGTTCCAGACTAGCCTGGTCTACAAGAGCTAGTTCCAGGACAGCCTCCAAAGCCACAGAGAAACCCTGTCTTGAAAAACCAAAAAACAAAACAACAATAACAAAACAAACTTATCATGTGTTTATTGGCCATATAGCCAAATTGGCTTTGTTCTTGGAAATGTTCTGTTTTAATCTGTCACATGTTTTCTGTTGAATTTGATTTCTATATGCTGTGTACTCTTTTTTTGTGATGTATGTGTTGCAAAGACCTGTTCCCATTCTGTTAACTGGCCTTTGATTTTTCTTTTAATTTTGTTGTTGTTGTTGTTTTGTTTTGTTTTTCGAGACAGGGTTTCTCTGTAGCTTTGGAGCCTGTCCTGGCACTCACTCTGTAGACCAGGCTGGCCTTGAACTCATAGAGATGCACCTGCCTCTGCCTCCCAAGTGCTGGGATTAAAGACATGCACCACCAATACCTGGTTTAAAACTTTTTTATTATTTGTTTATGCAGGTGTACCATGCTTCATGTATGAAGCTCAGAGGACAACCTGTAGGGGTTAGTCCTCTCCTCCCACCATGTAGGTCCTGGGAGTAGAACTCAGGTCCTGAGGGTTACCTATTGAGCTGTCTTGCCAGGCTTCTTTTAACTTATTGTTTTTAAGATTCATTTATTTTATGTGTATGAATGTTTGCCTGCATGTGTGTATGTTCACCATATTCGTGCAGTCTCCAAAGAAGCTAGAAGAGGGCATCAGATCTGATGGGGCTGGAGTTGCAGAGTGTTGTGAGCCACCAAACCTTAGCAAGAGCGGCCAGTGCTCCTAACTGCTAAGCCTCCTTCTCCACGGCCTCTCCCACTCCTTGGCTTTTCTAATGGGATCTGTTGATTAATCAAACAGTCAAATTTCCCTTTCAGAAAGTACTAACAGAAATCCCCTGTCAAGCTCTAAAAGCCTGGCTTGCCTTTTGTGTTTGCTCCGCAATCCATTGTAAGCCATTCTGATGTATAATGGGAGATAGTGGTGCTTTGTGTTTCGTATAAAAAGCTCATTGTCCCAGCTTTTGTTTTTGCTTTTAAAGATCATTGTTTTCTGTACTGTTTTGCAATGCATCCTTTGCCATGTCTCACATGTTCCTGCATGACAGTGTCCCTTCTGGGTTTTTTTGTTCCATTTCACTGGCTTATTTATATGCCAGTACCACAGTCCTCAATTCTACACCTTATGATAAGTATCGTCTTATAGACCAAGTTCTTTGTCTTTTTTCAGTAGCAACATCATCACCCTTGCATTTCTAGCTGAAGTTTAATGTCATTCTAAATCTTACCAAAATTAAGATCTAATGGCTTAGCAGGTGATGGTGCTTGTCACCGAGACTGGTGACTTAAATACCCTTTCTGGGACACACATGGTAGAAGGCGAGAATCGTCTCCCACAAGCTGTCCTCTGACCTCCATACACAAGCTGTGGTTTGTACACACACACACACACACACACACACACACACACACACACACGCACACACACACACGCACACACACACTTTTTTTTTAGAGACTAAAGTGTTCTGTTGCCTCCTGGAGAAGAAGGCTGCACCGGTTGGCACTCATAAGATTGGTAAGTGTAGGAATACCAGGGACTGGAGATGAAAAGTGCTGTTCAGGAGTGCCAGCCACGTAGGACGGAGAAGGCTGTGCCCCCTGGGATGAAGCTGAAGATGACGTTGTCCTCAGGCTGTCACTTCCACACCCAGGTGTACACTGCAGAGAAGCCTCACACATGGGCAACATTTTTCACAAAGAACATTGATTCTAAGAGGAAAAACAATGAAAGTAATCAGCTTTATTTTGTTTTGTTTTGAAATGAGGTTTCACTTAGACTGTGGTCCCACTAGTCCCAGACTCATGGCAATTCTCCTGCATTAGCTTCCCAAAGTAGGAGGGCCACACTGAGTAATCTGTATCAACTTATAGTGCAACGAATAGATGAATGGAAAGTCTGGAGAGAGGACTGGATGGTTAAGAGCATTGGCTGCTCTTTAGACGACCCAGGCTTGGTTCTCAGCACCCACATGGTGGCTCACAACTGTTGGTAACTTCAGTTCCAGGGAATGGAATTCAGCGCCCTCTTCTGGCCTCTTTGGGCACCAGCTAGGCATGCACTGCACTCACACACAGGCAAAACAACTATACACATAAAACAATTTTTTTAAATAAATAAATGGAAAAAATCATGGAATCATTGCTACAATTAATGTACGTAGCTATCTCTTTCTGCCAGGAAAAAATGTCACAAGAATAATGTTGAACAAACAAAGTGTCAGAAGATTACCAAAATATGCTACCATTTATGTGACAATTTTTTTTTTTTTTGGTTTTTCGAGACAGGGTTTCTCTGTATTGTTTTGGAGCCTGTCCTGGAACTCACTTGGTAGACCAGGCTGGTCTTGAACTCACAGTGATCCACCTGTCTCTGCCTCCCGAGTGCTGGGATTAAAGGTATGCGCCACCAACGCCCGGCCTTATGTGACAATTTTAACAGCACAAAACAATACTATATTTTGTTGAATGAGATAAAATTGTCAATAGTTTTCTATAGAGAGCAAAATGCTACTGGGTTCAAGAGAAAGGTATCAACAAAATGGAGGATTTTTCTTTTCTATTCCTTCTTTCCTTCTGTCCTTCCTTCCTTCCTTCCTTCCTTCCTTCTTTCCTTCCTTTCTTTTCTGAGATTGGTCTCTCTATGTAGCCCTGGCTGTCCTGGAGCTCACCATGTAGACCAGGTCAGCCACCACACCTAGAAAACTTTTTATTTTTGGTTTTTCGAGACAGGGTTTCTCTGTGTAGCCCTGGCTGTCCTGGAACTCACCATGTAGACCAGGCTGGCCACTAACTTGGAGATTCACCTGCCCCTGCCTCCTGAGTGCTGGGATTGAAGGTATGCGCCCAGAAATAAGAAACCTTATTTCTTAAGGCAGAACAAAGTACATTGTTAGGTATTATGTCCATCTTTGTGTTAGGTCAGAGCATGTGAAATCACCTGTATCTGAAAAAACGGCAAATTCACATTGTTTAACTTAATAATTCTTTGATCTGGATGCTGAGATTACGAAAAGAGAAGTATCTACCTGCCCTGAATATTGATTGGGCTGTGACCAATATTTACATATTTAAACTATTAGAATCAAAATGGAGGAAGGCGTGATGCCACATACCTTTAGTAACAGCACTCAGGAGGCAGGTGGATCTCTATGAGTTCCAGGACAGTCAGAGTTATGTAGAGACCCTGTCTTAAAAATACGTGTATCAGAGATGGCTCAGCAGTTAACATCATCTGTTACTCTTACAGAAACCCTGAGTTCAGTTCCCAGTACACATATCCGGCAGCTCACAACTGCCTGGTCTCTATGAACACACACACGCGCACACACACACACACACACACACACACACACACACACACACACACACACACAAGCACATGATCTAAAATGAGAAATCTTTTTACAGATAGAATCCACTTGGCAGTAGAGGTCAGAGTGAAGGTGTCACAAGAGGAAGGGGGAGCAGAGGAGGAGAGAGGTGGCGGTCAGGGCAGGGTGGCACCTGCTGTGGTGGTGAGTTAAAGGCACTGGCAAAAGCTGAAGCAGTGATGAAATACAAACAGCAAAGGCCACTCATAGAAGAATTTTAAAAATAACTCCCCAGGGTTTGGAGCGAGCAGGAAGGACAGCATAAGCAAATCTAAGCCCTCATCAATAGGCAGTGCTTAGCCGGGCGTTGGTGGCGCACGCCTTTAATCCCAGCACTCGGGAGGCAGAGGCAGGCGGATCTCTGTGAGTTTGAGACCAGCCTGGACTACCAATCGAGTTCCAGGACAGCCTCCAAAGCCACAGAGAAACCCTGTCTCGAAAAACCAAAAAAAAAAAAAAAAAAAAAAAGGCAGTGCTTCTTTTAATTATTTATTTATTTTACATCCTGGCTACAGTGTTCCCTCCCAGGCCTCCCCACTTCCCCTTCCGTTCCCACTCCCCCAATCCACTCCTCCTCCCTTTCTGTTCAGGAAAGAGCAGATAGCTATGGATATCAACAAAACACAGCATATCAAGTTGCAGTAAGACTAAGCACCTCCCCATGTGTTAAGGCTGGGCAAGGTGACCCAGTATAGAGAGTAGGGTGTTTTAATTAATAATTCAAACCATGAAGGGTCAGCTAGATGGCTCAGCACACTGGGCCCAACCCCAGAAGCCACAGAAAGGTGGAAGAAGAGAACTGAAACCTCAGCCTTGTGTTCTGACCTCCATATGTGCCCCCTCATCATTCTCCCACATGGGCGGTAATAATAATAAATGAGGGGCTGGAGAGATGGCTCAGCGGTTAAGAGCACTGAATGTTCTTCCAGAGGTCCTGAGTTCAATTCCCACCAACCACATAGTGGCTCACAACCACCTTGAATGAGATCTGGTACCCTCCGCTGGCATGCAGGCAGAAGACTGTATACACAATAAATAAATAAAAATGAACAAATAATGGTTTTAAAGTATGAAGCTGTGTGAAGCCACCAAAGAGACTTCCAGAACTAACACCAAGTGTGGGTATATGTGGAAGGTAGGACCAAGTGAGGACAGGTCGGTGGGGTTGAGATGCACCTTTCCTGTCTCTCCATGCTATGTGAATTTTAGCCAGTTACATGCTATTTTAATAACAAACTAGAAAGCGTGGGGATTCGGGGATGAAGTCAGTGTGCTGTGTCTACCTCTGCCCTTCAAGTGGTTTCTATAAACAGAACATCAGAACTATGCTCCCTGCCTCCTGGCTTATCTCCAGCCAATGGTGATACAGAGAGGAGTGGAGGAGACAGTCGGTCATTCCAGAACTCAGTGCTGCCTCTCCTCAGGTGCCCAGTCACAGTTCTGAGACCTGGGATGTCTGAGTGTCTCTTTCGCAGACTTGCACTCCTTCAGGGTGGTTTAGCTCAGAGCACTTCACAATGTGGGCACGCTAAGCTGGTGACATGTCCCTGCTGATTCCTTCCTGCGCGGAGAACAGGCGTGCCCATAGAATACAGATGTGATGTGCCCCTCCGCTCCATCCCGACACCACCACTTTCTCTGAAAAGACATAAGAGGGGACATGTAGACGGCACTGGGGGACACTGGTTCTGAACGGACAGAGGAGGTCCTGAGGTGGAATAGCCTCCCTAAAACAGTGAGAGACTGGAGACTCTTAGCAGACGGACGATCTGAGAGTAGTCGGGGGTCCCCCATGAAATGGAGGGGGCCCCTCTCAGCCCAGGTGGGGTACAACAATCTGCCAGTGTGTTTGGAGGAGCTAGGGTTTCCTTCTGAGTTCAACTCCCCCACCTGCTGAGTGTGACTTCAGGGAGACTGCCAGGCTGGCCAAAGCCTCCCAAGCTCCCTCAACCAACATCTCTCACCTGTGTCTCCAAGGTGACTGCTGTCATTATCTCCATTTTGCAGGAGAGAAAACTGAGGCTTGGAGACATGGTGATCCAGGCTGTGAGAGCCTAGGCCTGCTGATTTCCGAGCCAGGATTCACACTCACTTCCTCCTCCTTCTCCGCAGGTCCGGACCCTGGTGGCTGACTTTTCCATTGTTTTCTCCATCTTGCTGTTCTGTGGAATCGATGCCTGTTTTGGCCTGCAAACCCCCAAGCTGCATGTGCCGAATGTCATCAAGGTTTGCTCCTTGATCTGGGCAGTCACTCTGCCTGCCTCCTACCTGCAAGGTCCCCTTTGTGTTCATCAAACCTTTCCCTCTCAGCCAAGAGACCCTGTGTGTACTCTAGCCCTTTGTGTATGCCTCCCGGAGGTGATCATCTGAGAGGTGGGTGGGGACATATTACCATAATACACGGCTGTGGGCCTTTAGAGTGGGAAAGACTCTGAAATCTCCCCTCCAAGCCAGCAGAAGCCTCGGGGGTTCTGTCAGAGGATTTCTGATCCTCTGCCTGTGGCAGTCTACAAACTGGGCCAACTGAGATCTGTCCAAAGTGATTCCTTAGAATGGTCATCCCCAAAGGGTGACACTGTACTAGTGTCAGATTGTTCTGGGTGGGCATCCTCATGGCCTCCTGTTTCTTCATGGGGCTCCCCTGGTGTGTGGGTCATCTCCATCACCCACATCGACAGCCTCAAGATGGAGACAGACCAGTGCCTCAGGGAAGCAGGCCCAAGTTCCTGGGGGTTAGGTAGGAAGGATCTTAAAAATGCAGATTCTTACGCCGGGTGGTGGTGGTGCACGCCTTTAATCCCAGCACTCAGGAGGCAGAGGCAGGCGGATATCTGTGAGATCCGCCTGCCCGGCCTAAATTCTTTTTTTTTTAATATTTTATTTATTTATTGTGCATACAGCCTTCTGCCTGCAGGCCATCAGAGGGTACCAGATTTCATTCATTTCATTCAAGGTGGTTGTGAGCCACCATGTGGTTGCTGGGAATTGAACTCAGGACCTCTAGAAGAACAGTTAGTGCTCTTAACTGCTGAGCCATCTCTCCAGGACCCCCAGCACAAATTCTTAACATGCAAACTGATATTTGACTTTTTACAGACAGCCCTGGGAGCTCCTTAGGCAGATGGCTTGGCAGAGGCAGGGGCAGGGGCAGGGGCAGGGGTAGGGGCAGGGGCAGAGGCAGAGGCAGCACTAGGCTGTAGCAGATTTTTTTCTCTTGAACCACCAACCAGCTCCCACATCAAGACACAGACTTCTTATTAGTTATGAATGCTTGGCCTTATCTTAGCTCTTATTTCTTTCTGGCTCTTATAACTTACATTATCCTGTTTCTGTTCATCTATGTTTGCCTTGGGGCTTTTTACCTTTCTGTCTTTCTGTATGTCCTACTTTCCTGCTTCTCGTGTTTGGCTGGCTGGTGACTGCCTGGCCTCCGGCCCTGGGAGTATACCTCTCTTTCTCCCTCATTCTTCTCCCTCGTTCTCCTCTTCCTCCTCCTCCTCTTCCTCTCTCCCCACCAGCCCCACCTATCCCTCTCCTGCCTAACTATTAGTGGTTCAGCTTTTTATTGGATCAATCAGGTGCCTTAGGCAGGCAAGGTAAAACAAATGCAACACATCTTTACATAGTTAAACAGATGCAGCACAAACAAATGTAAAACATCCTTACATCATTAACAAAGGCAGCAGAAACAAAGGTAACACATCTTTGCCTACTTAAAATAATAGTCCCCAACACTAGGCCCATCAGGTACTTCCTTGCTTTGTTCTGTCTGGCCTCCTTTTTGCCATTGGTCTTTTTGTGCAGAATGGCTACATATGCCCTCCTGGCTGCCCTCCGGTCCTTGCCTGTTTTCCCAGGGTGTTGCAGCCTGTTTAGTTCTGTGTAGCCCCAACGTGTCTGAGCTCCATCCATGCCCACCTGCTTCTGTGATTCTCTTTAAGGTTGCAGGTTCCTGGCATCTTTGAGGGGGAAATATTGTAGCTGAAAGGTGCCTCCAAGTGGGGAGGGAGCAGTGATGAGAAGGGACACAGGCAAGTGTCTGGGACAAAAGAGAGGGGAACAGGCCTCTCCACTTCCTCCACTCAGCCCACACGGCCTGACCGAGGCTGGTTTATTGCCCCCTTTGGGAAGAACCCTTGGTGGGTGTACCCTGCGAGCATCCTGCCCGCCCTGCTGGTGACCATCCTGATCTTCATGGACCAGCAGATCACTGCTGTCATTGTCAACCGGAAGGAGAACAAGCTGAAGGTAAGGCTGAGCCAGGAGCACGGTTGGGGGTAGAGGAAGGGCATTCTTCCCTTCATACTTTGAGAAGATAAGTCCCACTTTAGTGTCTCAGGTGAGAGACACATGCCCTTGAACAGGACCAAGGTGACTCTGTCTGAGAACCAGATGCCAGCACAAGCCCCCTGTGTACCTCAAAATGTCTTTGTGGCTGGTGCCTCCTGACACTTGAACTTGAGCTCCTCACACATGCCGATGAGTGTAGGCCTAAAATCAGGAGGCAGAGGAGTTTCCTCAGCCCCATGCTTCCTAGAGATCCCCTCCCTGCCTTCGGCTCTGAGAAGACTCAGGTCACCACTGACTGCCTCACTTAGCCTGGACCACTCTACGCTGGTCCCTTACCTAAGAACAACAGAGAGGCTGTGGCCGGTGGGCACGAGCTCTTCTCCCCAGAGACCAAACCCAGGGCCTTGCCAAGCCTGAACATCCCTCTCTCCACACCTGTGTCCCTGGCTCAATTTTTTTAGACCAGGTGGCAACTAAAGCCACCTTTAGGAGTGGTGAGGCCCAAACACCTAAGTCCTCAGGGTGAGTGCCTTAGTGGGGCCAGAATACACTCTGGAATGCATGGGGAGCCCTTGGACCATGACCCACAAAACAGTTACTTTGGGAAGGATAAGGTCCCCAGAAGCCTCTCCTGTCCCACTGTCCTGCAGAAGGCCGCCGGCTACCATCTGGACCTGTTCTGGGTGGGCATCCTCATGGCCCTGTGCTCCTTCACGGGGCTCCCCTGGTATGTGGCTGCCACGGTCATCTCCATTGCCCACATCGACAGCCTCAAGATGGAGACAGAGACCAGTGCTCCCGGGGAGCAGCCCCAGTTCCTGGGGGTCAGGTAGGACAGAGCAGGCGCGAGCCACTTGACTGGGAGTAGACACTGTAGGGGAAGGGAAGGTGTTTTTCCTCGAGGTATTTGGGCATTCTCTGTGACCACTGAAACCTCAGCCTGGAGGAGAGAGGTGAAAGTTCAATTCTATCAATTCTTTCGTTGTTGTGGTTGTTTTTGGTTTTCGAGAACAGGGTTTCTCTGTGTAGCCCTGGCTGTCCTGGAAGTCACTCTGTAGACCAGGCTGACCTTGAACTCACAGAGATTTGCCTGCCTCTGCCTCCTGAGTACTGGGTTTAAAGGTGTGCACTACCACCCCTTGGACAATTCTAAATGATACTTTTTTTTTAGTAGTCCCCAGTATGAACACACACACACACACACACACTCTCTCTCTCTCTCTCTCTCTAGATCAGCGGTTCTCAACCTTACTAATGCTGCGATCCTTTAATACAGTTCCTCGTGTCATGGTGAACCCCCTCCCACCATAAAATTATTCCATTGCTACTTCAAAACTATAATTTTGCTGCTGTAATGAATTGTAACATAAGTATCTGGTCGCAATCTGCAGGTTGAGAACCGCTGCTCCAGAGTCTCACTCATGGACCACTGTTGAGCCTCTTGCCTCTCTCTCTGGCTTTCCTGAAGGACCCTCTAGAGGTCTCCCCATTGGTTCACATCCTGCTTAGCCACCATACCTCCTGAGAGCCTTCCTGGACCCATCCAGGGTTCCAGTCTGTAGCCCTGGCTTGTCACTTCTGTTCTTCTCCTTGACTCTCTGTTCTTGCCCCGTGTCAGATCACAAACGGTTCATACAGCGAAGCTCCAAGGTCCATGCCAGACACTGGTGTTCTCCAAAATGGCTTCCCTGGGAACTTCCTGTGTCCTTGGGACACACAGACTACCTGGGCATGCCTTGAGGGAGACCTCTTTGCTTGGTTGCAGTGCTCAAGACTGGCCTGGGTAGAGACCTTTCTCAGTCCCCTCCCTGGACCTATGCCATCTGCCCAGAGCCTACAGCTCCAGTCTGGGTTGTGCCAGGGCCTATTTGCACCTGGCCCTGCTGCCTCCTCCACCAGCAGTCAGACTCCTTCCCCGGGTCGTCATCAGCTGTGATTCCCAGGGGTAGGAACTGAACACTAAAGCAGAGCACTAAGCCCTTTACAACCTCCCAATAGCGGTGTTGTCATCGACTATAGTCAGCTCGGCGCTCATGGCCTTGCCTAATGCCCACGTGTAAGTAGCAGAGCCAAGAGCGGACCTAAGTCCAACTCAAGCTCAAGCACGCAGCTGTTGGGCACTACACTGAACAGCTTCCCTGGCACTCCTCAAAATGCCCTGACCTAGGTTAGGTGCTCCCCACCTTTTCCAGCCAAGACTGGGCTTGAGCTGCCAGGCAGAGCCCAATGAAGCAACCCCTCAAGTCCATAGTGTGGGACATAGTAAGCTTCAAATCCAATGGAAGAGCTGAAGGGGCTGGGAACAGCCACTGAGTGTCTTCCAGGTCACCACTGACTGTGTGCTTGTCTCCGCCAGGGAGCAGAGAGTGACTGGCATCATGGTTTTCATCCTGACAGGCATCTCCGTCTTCCTGGCTCCTATCCTAAAGGTGAGGCTCTACCCCATCACCCACAGGCCCAAGGGCCCCTGGCCTGCAGGCCATAAGAAAGGCAAGATGTGAACAGGCCATGGTGGCATTTCATCATTCACCATTTTCTGTGATGCTACATGGGCTGTTAGCATTACTGCTGTCCTGTCTGCTCTGCCCCGGCCCTTCCAGGGGCCACTGTCACCAGGGAAGTCTACAGTGTTGTTTTCCTACTTAGTTAAAGATCTCCAGAGGCGGGCAGTCCACATTGCCATGGTTTGGGCTCACTCCAGATCTTCCTGCTTTGCCCATTTTCTGAATGTAAACTTTGCATAGAGGACCCCCTAGGCTGTACAAGACCAATCTCCATCTCTCCATCTTTTATATCTTGGGCACACAAGCGACATTCCCCCAGATTTTTGAAACCCTTCTTACTCACTTCCCAGCAGCTAGAGGACACTATAGCAGCGCTGCATTCAAGGCTGCGTCCTTCAGGAGATGCCCTTTCCAGTCAGGAATGAGGTAATCCTGACAGGCCGCACTGCTCTCTCTTCTTTGCCACATCCAGTTGTCTATTAATGGTCCATTCCTTCCATCAATACCCACAGAAGATTCCCGTGTGTGTGTGTGTGTGTGTGTGTGTGTGTGTGTGTGTGTACTTGTGCACATCTGTGTGCATGTGCACACATGTGTCCGTGTGCACATGTATATACGTGAATGAGTATGGACACCACCCATGGAAGCCAGAAGTGTCAGATTCTCCTGGGGTTTGTGAGTCACCCAACATGGGTGCTGAGAATTGAACCCAGGTTCTCTGCAAAAGCAGTATGTGTTCTTAACTCCTGAGCTATCTCTATGGTTTCTCTAATTTTTTTTTTTGAGACAGAGTCTCTCACTGAATCTGGAGCTCACACATTTGGCCAGGCAGGCCGGCAAGCTCAAGGGTTTCTCTCATTTCTACCTCCACAGTGCTGGGATAACAAATATGTCCCTCCACACTCGGCCTTTTCACTTGGGGTTGGGGTTTAAACTCAGGCCCTTCTGTTTGTGTGGCAAGCACTTTACTGAAGGAGCCATCTCTGCCACGCAAGACTTTCCTTTCTTATTAAACTGAGTCCACTTTTGTTGCTGTTCCTTCCTCCCACCTTCTAATCTCTTAAGTCAGCCAGTTTTGAGGTGGCCTTGCAAGAACAGAGTGAACAGCCAGACGTGCATGATTCACTCACTGACAAGTGTTTCTGGCTTGCAAATAGATGCTGGGCACATCTGAGTGGTGGCTGTGCTGCTGGGTCCTTCAAAGGAACGTCTCCGTTGTGTGCATAGATCACACGCAGGTGGACAGATGGTCTCCTTTATTTTACAGTGGTTCTTTGCAGGCTAGGGAGACAGTTCGTTGAGTAAGGGTACCTGCTGCTGAGGCTGCCAGTCTGAGTTTGATACCCTGGAAGGAGAGAACCAACTCTTGAAAGCTGTCCTCTGACCTTCATACAAGCTCAGTGACCTGCACACAGGAATACACACACACACACACACACACACACACACACACTCAGTCAATCAATAAATAGAAGCTGGAGAGCTGGCTCAGTGGTTAAGAGCACTGGTTGCTTTTGCAGAGGACCTGGGTTTGGTTCCCAGCACCCACATAGCAGCTCACAAACATCTGTAATTCCAGTTTCAGAGGATCTGACACCCTCTTCTGGCCTCAGTGGGCACCAGGTATACATGTTGCATATATGTTTACATGTGAGCAAAAAACTAGTACACATAAAGTAAAAATTAAATCTGTTTTGCAATGAGCATATTATGTTTTTAAATTTGATTAAGCGAATACATGTAAAATAAAATACACTTTTAAGAGCCAGGCCTGATAGCCCAGGCCTCTAACTTGGGAAAATGATGCAAAGAGTTACAAGTTCAAGGCCAGCCTGTGCTACAGAGTGAGTTCAGTGCTGGCTTCAACACAAAATAAATAGTGCAGTGAAGACGGGGGGGGGGGTAGGGGGGACGGTCATGGGACTGGGGGGATGGACAGAGCAGTGGCAGAGGGCTCCCCTGGCACTTGCAAGGCCCTGATATGATCACAAGCAAACGAAGGACCACTTTTATGGTCCCAGGGATGGAACTCAGGGTCTTGTGAATGCCAGACAGTGCTCTGCAATTGAGCTATATTCCCAGACCATTTTGTTTGTACATTTTTACGTGTGTGTGTGTGTGTATGTGTTCAAGCACGCACTCACGCACATGCGCATGTGATATGTGGTGTATGACATATGTGAGTGTCAGAATACAACTTGTAGTTCTTTCTTGCCACCTGTGTGTCCCCAGGATTGAACTTGGATTGTTAGGCTCAGCAACAGGAAACCGTGTTTGCTGGGCATTTCCCTGGCCCCATTGTATATTTTAAATGTCCAAGGAATGTTCACTTTTCTGAAAAAGTCTCCAAAGAACTATTGGTGTTTGTCCTGATACACAAGTGTGTGTGTCAAAAACAACAACAACAACAAAAAAAACCCCAATAGTCTAAAAAGAGTGTGATTCAGTGACCCAAGGTTGCTCCCAACACTCTGCAGACAGCAGCTCCCATCTCCCAGGGACAGTCTCAGACTGCAGTCCAGTTGCGGGTGTGCTCAGCAATCCAGCCATCCCACATCAGCATTTCTCTGTGTTTGAACTGACCATAAGGCTGCTAGAAAATTCTGCTGTGGTCTCTGTCCTTCCATTCCATTTACAATGTGATCAATTCTTTTATGAGCACATTTATTACATCCTGTATATAATGGCCAGTATTTTGTGCTCATAATTTTGACATCTGATTTTGCTCTAATACCATCTGTGCTCTTGTCTAGGGCATCAGGCCCATAGCAGTATAAAGAAAAGAACTGAAATTAGGGTTGGGGTGGAGCTCAGTGTCACCGGGCTTACCTAGCACAGGTACGGAACTGGGTTCTGTCCACAGTGGAGGATCAGGACCATAAATCATAGGATTTCTGGTTTGAGCATATCCAGGTGTACACCTTCCTATAAATGAAGGCTTTGGCATCTGGAGAAGTGGTTCAGTAGGTAAGAGAGCTTGCTGCTCTTCCCAAGGACTTGAGTTTGCATCTCAGCACCCACAACAGGCAGCCCATAACCACCTGTAACTCCAATTCCAGGGAGCCCAACACCCCTCTTCTGGCCTCTGAGAGCACACACACACATGTAGCATACACTCACACACACACAACTTAAAATAAAAAAAAACTTTTAAATAGGATTTCAAAAGAATTAAGTTTTTTTTCCAGCTAATACTGAACAGCTACAACACTCACAAGAGCATCAAAACTGGGTCCTAAGACAGTGCTACCCCAAGAAGCAGAAGTACAGGCTGGGGTGCTGCTGACATGGGACCCGGCAACTGTGAGAAGGCAACCATGAATGTGGTGCCCTGAGGTTGGGTTAGGAACTTCCCGGGGCTCTGGGTGCTGGGGTTTCAAAATTCTAGGGCTGTAGCTCAGCTAGTAGAACACTTGCTGAGTGTATGTGAACCCTGAGTGTGTGCGAACCCTTGAGTGTAGCTCAGCTAGTAGAACACTTGCTGAGTGTATGTGAACCCTGAGTGTGTGCGAACCCTTGAGTGTAGCTCAGCTAGTAGAACGCTTGCTGAGTGTATGTGAACCCTTGGGCTCCGTTTTCGTTCCATCACAGCCCTGCAGAAACCAGGTACAGTGTGATACAGTTTGATATCTAATGACAAATTCCTCTCATCTCTTTGTTTTATTGATTTTGATTACTTTTTTAAAAAGATTTATTCGAGAGTTCCAGGACAGCCTCTAAAACAATACAGAGAAACCCTGTCTCGAATAACCAAAAAAAAAAAAAGATTTATTTGCCCAGTGGTGATGGTTCACACCTTTAATTCCAGCACTCAGGAGGCAGAGGCAGGCGGATCTCTGTGAGTTCAAGTCCAGCCTGGTCTACAAGAGCTAGTTCCAGAACAGCCTCCAAAGCCACAGAGAAATCCTGTCTCAAAAAAAAAAAGATTGATTGATTGATTGATTGATTATGTATACAGTGTTCTGTCTGCATGTATCCTTGCAGGCCAGAAGCACAAGATCTCATTACAATGATTGTGAGCCATCATGCGGTTGCTGGGAATTGAACTCATGACCTCCGGAAGAGCAGTCAGCGCTCCTAACCCAGTCCCTTGACTACTTTTTTTTAAAGACTTATTTTTATTTATATGAATGTCTGTGTGAGTGTATGCCATGTAGTTTGGGTGCCGTCAGAAGCCAGAGGAGGGCATTGGAGCACCCTGGAGCAGGAATTACAGGCCGTTGTGAGCCACCCAATGTGGGTGCTGAGAGCAGAACTCAGGTTCTCTGGAAGGGCAGTGAGCACTCTAGATCCCTGGGCGACCTCCGCAGCACATGACCCTTGTTCTTTTACTTCTAAAAATAGTGTCTCACTATGTAACCCTGAGTGGCCTGGAACCTGAGATACGGGCCAGGCTGGTCTCAAACTTCCTATAGTTCTGCTATTGAAGTCTCTTAAGTGCTGGGATAACGAAGATGAGCCATGCCAGGTGGTGGTGGCGCACGCCTTTAATCCCAGCACTCGGGAGGCAGAGGCAGGCGGATCTCTGTGAGTTTGAGACCAGCCTGGTCTACAGAGTGAGTTCCAGGACAGCCTCCAAAACAATACAGAGAAACAAATCCCAACAAAACAAACAACAACAACAAAGGCACAAAAAAACAAGCCACAATACTGACTTATTTTTAAGATCTTCTTTCAGTTGCTGCCATACTTAAAATGCAGTTTGCACAGTGTTAACATATTAACTTTTTATGTTGTCTTATTTTTTTCTCTTTATTTTTTTTTCTCAAGACATGGTTTCTCTGTGACTTTGGAAGCTATTCTGGAACTAGCTCTTGTAGACCAGGCTGGTCTTGAACTCACAGAGATCCACCGGCCTCCTCCTGAGTGGTGGCGGGATGTTGTTTTATAATTAGGACATTTTCTCACAAGCCATGTGTTAGCAGGAAAATGCAAGGGCCATCTAAATCCCTTTTTAACTTTTAGCTCAAATGCCTTGGGGTTGAAGTTTACAACACCTAGATCCAACTCTTTCTTAGTGCTTAAAAATCAATAGTCTAACAGAGCACTGGCTTGCTTGGATGTCTTGACACTCTTTTCCTTTAAAGATTTATTTTACTTTTAAACATTGTGCGTATGTGTGTCTGTGTGTGCACATGTGCACTTGAACGCAGGTGCCGGTGGAGGATGCCCTGGAGCTGGAGTTACAGGTGGTTGTGAGCCTCTAGATGTGGGTGCTGGTGCTCTTAACTGAAGCCATCCCTCCAGTCACTGTCCCAACGTTCTTAAATGGCACCTCTAAGTTAGGCGACCATGTTGGTATCAAACTTTGTGCTTTCCAAAGTGTTTTACCAGGCCCTCCTAAGAACAGGCAGGCTCAAGCTCAGCTTGCCAGGGTTGCTTCGGTGGTTGTCAGCTGAGGCAGAAGTGGGAAGGATCTGGCAGGATCGAGTAGCTTTCCCTCTTGCTGGGAGGAGTAACCCCCATCACATAGGTTCTGAGTGGCCCAGAGAGCGGCCAGTCCTGAAAAGCAGCTGCATGCTGGCGTTGTCACCCAAGCAGGAAGAGGAGTGCTGTTCCTCCCTCATGGCCCCCCTCACATTCTCTGGCTTCAGATTTGCTCTTGGACCCTCGGCTCCTCCAAAGTCAGGCCTCTGCAGTTGGCTGATGTCATCACCAAATAGCCAAGGACCCTCCCCAGCCCAAAACCTCTGTTCTCTTTGCAGTACATCCCCATGCCAGTGCTCTATGGAGTCTTCCTCTACATGGGTGTAGCCTCCCTGAATGGCATCCAGGTAAGACTGCACCCTCCCCAGGCTAATGTGACCTAGAGTCAGAGCTTCCTGTCTAGTTGTGTGATACCAAGTCTCTAAATGCTTGCTGCCCCGATTCTATAAAAGGATAATGGAAATGATACTTCCTCCATCGACTGTGCCAACAAAATGACTATACCAGGCACTTCACAGGTATCATACAATCTATGTCATTAGGCCCTTGGATCCCATTTTACAGGTGGAGAAACTGAGACAGATGAAGCTAACATTAATGAACATTTCCTCCCCACTTCCCTAAGGATACTCTACAAAAGAAAAGATTTTGTCTCATTCTGACACACTGAGGCTAGGGTCCCTGGGCAGTTTGTGCTGCAGTTAAGTTTGTTGCTTTTTCCTTAATTAAGGACCACATTCACATTCCTCCAGGCTATTTCCTTTATCTGGTGCCCTACCCTATTTTTTTATTATGTATACAATGTTCTCCCTGAATGCATGCCTGCATGCCAGAAAAGGGCATCAGATCTCATTACAGATGGTTGTGAGCCACCATGTTATTGCTGGGAATTGAACTCAAAACCTCTGGAAGAGCATCCAGCACTCTTAACCTCTGAGCAATCTCTCCAGCCCCCTACCCTATGTTATACACGCCTAGATTCCGATAGCCTGTCATGACTAGGAGTCCTCTCTCCGAGGCCCTACCAGATCATCACTTCCCCAGCTCTGTAGCCTTTGGCCCAGGAGCATGACCTCCCAGTTGAATCCTATGCCATATTCTTGCCAGTTCTGGGAACGCTGTAAGCTTTTCCTCATGCCAGCCAAGCACCAGCCAGACCACGCCTTCCTGCGCCACGTGCCCCTTCGCCGGATCCACCTGTTCACCCTGGTGCAGATTCTCTGCCTGGCACTGCTCTGGATCCTCAAGTCAACCATGGCTGCCATCATCTTCCCAGTCATGGTGAGGAGGGTGTGGGCTCCTTAGCAGACTGGGCGGGGCAGTGCCACCAAGAGGTTCAGGGCCAGTGAGCAGAGAAGAGTGCCAGAGTAACAGGACCCTGCAGGGACAACCCATAAACTGAGTCCAGGGCAAAAGTCACCAACCTCCCCTGGTGGGCAAGTGGGATGGGGTGGGATTGGAGAAGCAAGACAAAGCAGAAAGCCAAGCTCCCCATGGTGAACTTCAAGCTGGTTAGAAATAGAAGTATAATAGTAAGCTTTTCATTGTGCAGAACCACTGCATTTGAAAAGATGAATGGATCGTGACGGGCAGAGACCAGATTCCTAGATTCAAGAACTTGAGAATGTATCCTGGGCAGGGTGGCACTGGCTGCAATCCCAGCACTAGGGATGCTGTGATCTCAGGGGCTTGCTGGCTCGTTAGTCTTGAGGACATTGGGATGGCTGCAAAGACACTAACCGCAAAGGGCCCCTGAACTCAACCAAGGAGAAAACACAAGCTCACAGTTTTCTCTGAGCTCCCACAAAACTTCAGCCTTTCTGACCATCTTCCCAACCCAGATCCTGGGCCTCATCATTGTTCGAAGGCTCCTGGACTTGATTTTCTCCCAGCACGACCTGGCCTGGATTGACAACATCCTCCCAGAGAAGGAGAAACAGGAGACAGACAAGAAGAAGAAGAGAAGGAAAGGGGTCCATGAAAACACTGACGAGGAGGTGGGGACAGTGAGCAGCCTGGGCAGAGGGCAGAGGCTGGGTGACTCTCTGCTGCTGCTGGGGTGAGGGGTGGTTTTTTGGTGGCCTGAAATAACACCTGACACAGGAGGGATGCCATCTGTGTTGGTCTTGGGTGTTGAGACCCCCATCTGTTCCTGGGAGTATCCTCAGAGTAGTACAAACTGGTGAGCTTCCCTGCCTAGGAACAGGTGATGGCCATACCCACCCTCCTGTTACTGTGGGTTCCTAGGACCATTTTCAACAGCAGCGCAAGTACCTGGGGGCAGCACAGGCTCCAACAGGAAGACAGTTAGGAGGAGGATCTCCAGAGAAAGGAGCAGGCCCAGGGGAGGGGGTCCAGAGGGAACTCACAACAGCCTAACTCCAGGTGGGGTCCTAGTGGCAAGCTTGCCTAGGGCCGGCCCACAGGGTATTAGGGATGGAAGTGGGAGCAACACACATCTCCACTTAAGACAGAATGACCTCCTGGCTGCCCCACCTGCCCTTCTCCTCCTCCTGTGCTAATTTTGCATCTCAGCCCTAAAACTGTCAGGGACTCAAGAGCCAAGGAGTTAGTCCAGACTCTACAGTAAATCTCAAAACGTTAGATAGAAAGATTTCCTGATTCAAGCACTCATTACAAATGATGACAATTGTTCCCCCAAAGGGAACAAAACCTCCCAAGATGTATATATAGTCAACTGTCAAAGGAAATTAAGAAAACCATTCCTACTTTGATCTTGCCTTCTCCTGATACCATGCTCGGTTCCCACTCTCCCCCATTTGACTCAAGCCCATAACCTTCATCTACCATATTCTAGGGGTCTCACCATTTGCAAATGAAGGTTGTTCACAGAGAAATTGTTGCCAAGTGGGGAACAATGCTTAAGCCAGTATTTAACTGTGATGGCTTCATCCTTAGTTGCTGTACTCTTTCAGAAGAGAGCTCTCAAATTAATTTCATGTGCTTTTTTTGGTAAAAAAAAATGTGCAGAGATAAATTTCTGAAAAACAAAGGAGAAATGTTCTGGGACTGGGGATATAGCTCAGTTGGTAGGGCATTTGCTAGCATGCATGAAGCTCTGGGTTCGATTTCTAGTGCCTTATGAACCAGGCATGGGCGTGCATACCTGCCACCCAACACGTAGGAGGTGGAGACAGGAGGATCGGAAATTCAAGGGCATCCCCAGGCACACGGTGTGTTTGAGGCCAGTCTGTGGAGGAAGGAAAAGACCAAGGAAGGAAGAGTCCAGTTGTCTGAAGATTTATCATTTCCTAAATTGTGTATGAATGTGTCAGGGTGTCGGTCTGTGGCCATGTGCATATGAGTGCCTGTGGAAGCCGGAAAAGAGTGTTAGCTCCCTGGAGCTGGATTTACAGGTGATTGTGAGCTGCCCAGTGTGGGGGCTGGAAAGCAAACTCCAGTCTTCTGTAAGTGCAGCTGGAGCTCGTAACTGCTGAACCGTCTCTGCAGCCCTACTCTCCACCAAGTGTCTTTTACAGACAAATGTTTGGTTTCTTCAGTAAACATCTGAGATGTTCCCATGTGCCAGGAATTACTCCAGGCCTGAGAGGAAACATTTTATGATGCATACACTCAGTGAAAAATTGGGATTTGAATCACAGAAACTCATTTTTAAAAGTGCCTTTATGACAGTGTCACTATAGTGTGAGTCACTCACAGCGGCTGCTTACATGGCAGATTAAACTGTTCCAAGTGACATTCCTGGTTGAATTCCCACCTGTCTCCTGGGAACAGTGGGTCTCTAGAACAGTGGTTGCTGTGCCACAGTGCCTCCGTGGGCCCGAGTGTTTGCTGCAGCCCTCACTACCTGGCCTGGGTGGAAAGAGAATGGTGGCTTACACTGTGCGTGTCTGCATCTTCTGTCTCAATGAGGAAGCAGTTGTGTTGGTGTTTATCTCCTATCCCACTGTTTTTCTCCAGCCCCAGTTCCTTCCTCCCTCCATTATAAAGATCCCTATGGAAAGTGTCCCAACTGATCCCCAAAATGGTATCCACTGCATTGCCAGTAAGTAAAACACCTGCTGCCTCTCCCTTTCTACCAACTGCCAATCTTCCCTCTGCCCCCTACTCCCCGACAGACTTTGCCTTGCAGCTCAGTGGTCTAACTGTTTTAGATGTGAGGAACTCCTGGGCTAGGGAGAAATAAAAGTGACTGGCCAAGAGCATAGGAACTCTGCACACATGGAGAGCCCCCCCCACTCCAACAAAAGAGCATCCTGCAGTCTTCACTTAGACAAGACCTCCATTCCTAACTTTCCTTTGGACCCTGTGGCTCTGCTGGTCTTCCTGTTCATGGTTTTAGAACACACCAGTCCAAATGTGGCCCCGGAGCCTCCCACATTTCCCTGAGATTGTGATAACTGAGAGCTCCAGTCAGGGCTAAGTGTTCCCTTGTTAGAGAGCCAGCTGGGTGACTTGTGAGAGCCGCAGGTGCCTGCCACCGCCGACAGCGACGTTGCTTAGGGAGGGTCAGCTTCTGCTTATGAAGACTCTTCTAGATCCTTCACAGCCTCTAATCCTTCCCTAGTGATAGACACCTGTCCTTGGAGTCTTCTGAAAGATAAAACGGAGCCTGATCCTGGGGCTCCTATCATGGGACTCGTCCCTCTCCTCAAAGACCAGTTCTGGGTGGTCAGAGCATCCTGCTGGCACCCTTGGGAGTCCTTGAGGACTTTCTGTCATAGCACAAGGTCACTTCAGGTTCCTTCCTCTCCTGACCCACTTTCCGTCATCCCCTCGAGTCCTTGCCTTCCCTGTGCTTCACTCCTTCCTAACCAGCTGAGAGTCCCCTGTGTGAGGGATTGAGCCTGAAGCCACCCACCTCTGTGAGACCCTGGTATTCCTCATGTGCAACATTGACTGTAGGGACGAGGAGCATGCTGGAGAGCTAGAATGTTCCCCTGTACCCTACTGGACCTGCTCACCACTGGCATTTCCATCTCGCTCCAGGAAAAAGATCTTCCAGTTGGAGTTACTCGTTCTGACTCTTCCTTCAGTGGCTCAGAACTGGATCGAAGGTAAAAGGGCTATTGGGTACTTTTCTTTCTCATGTGCATGGGTTAGGGTTATTGACTGGGCCATAAACAACTTCTCACCCATACACCCATAAGGAAATGACTCCCTCCCCAGAAGCTATAAGCTGCCAGGAGCTTCTCAGCTAAGGGCGAGGTAGACTCGTTGAGTATCAGATCAGAGACTAAGCAGTGACTGAAGGCTTGAGGGTCTAGGACAGCTTTGCTGGCCCACCACTGGGAGACAGGCGGTAAGAAATTTGCTTATAGAAGTCAAGTATAATAAATGTATGTTCTCATCGACTCCAACATGGTTACAATGCACAAGGGAAGTCGGCTTTAAAATACTGGAAGTAAACACAGAAAACAGAAAGCAACAGAGGACATTGAAAACATGGCTTAATTATCTGTCACTGAAAGCTTGTGTGGATAGACACAAAGGACCAAAACATAAGGTACTCTAGGAACAACAGTAGGGTTAGTTATCACAGGTCAGAAAAAGGATCGAGGAAAGAGAACTAGAAAGTTCTAGAAACATTCAGGCAAAGGACTAGGGTAGTAGCCCAGAGGTTATGGCTTGCCTAGCATGTAGAAATCCCTGTTCAATCCCCAAAACTTTATGAAACCCAAGAATGGTGGTACATGCTTGTAATCCACCAGGGGAGCAGAGCCAGGGGAGCAAGAGTTCAAGGCCATGATTTGCTATGAGCAAGTTAAGGCCAGCCTGGGTTATATGAGACCCTGTCTCATTAAAAAAAAGAAAAGTTTTTTTTTCAGGGAAGTATTCAAGGCCCAGATGCCAAGAACTCTCATACCAATGCAATGCCTTGGTATTCTTGATGAGGTGCCATGCATGAAGAGTCTTACATATAGCAGGTCCTGGATGTGACTCCAGCTGCTTGGGTGTCACAGTGTCAGGGTGTGTGGGTGCCTGTAGAGGCCAGAGAGGACATCAGATCCTCCAGAACTGGAATGACAGGTGATTAGGAGCCACCAACATGGGAGCAAGAATACTCCTGGGCAAGAGAAGTGCTCTTAAGCCACTGAGCCCTGTCCCCACAGAGTACGCCTTTACATTAAACAAGAAAAGCTTACACTAAATCGGATCTCTATCTTATCTGCAGGCAAGAGCCTAGACCAAGACAGAGAATTTTTTAAAACTTGTTAAATTACACAGAGCAACAGAACAAGTTCATAAATGCAGAGAGTTTGGTTAGCTAGAGATGGCATTTGCCATATGCACTGGTGTTTGCCCAAATCTATGAAAGGAAAAGAGGACTTCACCGGGCGGTGGTGATGCACGCCTTTAGTCCCAGCACTCGGGAGGCAGAGGCAGGCAGATCTCTGTGAGTTCAAGGCCAGCCTGGTCTACAAGAGCTAGTTCCAGGACAGCCTCCAAAGCCACAGAGAAACCCTGTCTCAAAAAACCAAAACCAACCAAACAAACAAACAAAAAAGAGGACTTCTCTCCAGAGAGGAAAGAGCTCAGTGACAGGACTTGGCTGAACATAAATGAAACCTCAAAGGCATGGGGACTAAGGGGTAGAGGAGGGACTGGCTGGGGACTGAGGGGTGGGGGAGGGGCTGGATGGATGGGGGTGGAGAGGGATGAGCTGGCTAAAGAGATGGGGGCTGGTGAGATGGCTCTCAGGTTAAGTTCACCAACAGCTTTTCCAGAGGACCCAAGTTTGGTTCCTAGCATGGCAGGTTGGAACTATCTATCATTCTAGTTCTGGGGAATCTGAGCCCCTCTTCTGGACTCCCAGACACCAGGCACACATGTGGTGTAGAGACATACATGTAGGCAAACACTTATATACATAAAATGATTTTTTTTTTTGGTTTTTCAAGGCAGGGTTTCTCTATGGCTTTGGAGACTGTCCTGGAACTAGCTCTTGTAGATCAGGCTGGTCTCGAACTCACAGAGATCTGCCTGCCTCTGCCTCCTGAGTGCCGGTATTAAAGGCGAGGGCCACCAAATAATAAAATTGTAAAAACTTGGGGGCTGGAGAAATGGCTCAGTGGTTAAGAGCACTGGCTGCTCTTCCAGAGGACCCAGGTTCAATTCCCAGCCCCTATATGGCAACTCACAAAAATTGTAACTCCAGTTCCAGAGAATCTGACACTGTTATACCAACGCACATAAAATAAAGCTAAATAAATAAATAAACAAACAGTTTTTAAAAGGCTGCCAGGCATGAGGTGCCATACTTGGAGTTGTAGGGGAACTTGCAGACAAAGGCACAGTACATGTGTGAGAACATGCATGGGCACATGTAGAGGTTGATGACCTCAGTAGGTCAGAGTGGGCCAGAGCAGAGGAAGAAAGGCCAGTCCAGGTCATGGGAACAGGCCGAAGGCAACATTGAAAGCATACACACACAGGGATTGGGGGACAATCAAATTGGAAAAGTGGCCTGTTCAAACTAAGCGGTCTCTGCCAAGCCATGGAGTCTGGATGCTGTCCTTTGAACAGTGAGAAGGGAACAGAACAGTGCGATCTATGATTCAGAAAGTTGGCTCTGGCAGCCATTTGAATAGGTTAAGCAGGCTGGGACCAGTTCAGTGACAACAGTGAAAGTCCAGTAGACAGAGGACACTTGAGTCCAAGGATGCAATAAGCTCATGTCTCTCATGCAAAAGCAGGGGAATCAGGAATTCAACATCCATTCTTAGCTACAAGGCAAGTTTGAGGCTACATGAGACCCTGTATCAAAAAACAACACAAAAAGGCCAGCAAGATGACCCAGGAGGTAAAGCCATTTGCCACCAAACCTGGTGACCTGTCTTCAAATAAATGGTGGCCCACACCTTTAATACCAACATTTGGGAGGCAGCAGTTCAAGGTCAGCCTGATCTACACAGCATTACACTTCTGGAAAAAAATAAAATAGAACAGGATCTGAGCCAGGCAGTGGTGGCACACATCTTCAATTCTAGCACTTGAGAGGCAGAGGCAGGAGGTTCTCTATGAGTTCGAAGTCAGCCAGAGCTACACAGAGAAACGCTGTCTTGAAAAACCAAGCAAACCAACAAGCAAACCATGATCTGAGTTTAATCCCTGAAACCTACATGGTAGAAGGAGAAAGTCAACTCCTGCATTACCCTCTGCTACTCAACGCTTATACCCCCCATCAAACACCCATAAGTAAATTCATAATTTTGCTGGGATGGGCTCTCACTTAAGTAGCCCAGATTGGTCTTGAACTCAGATCTGTCAGAGTGCTACCTGGCTTGTAAACCTTTTTCTTTAGAAAGCTTACATGCGTATAATGCACAGACATACATGCAGAAAATAGCCACACACGTTAAAAAAATATTTTTAAGTTGATAAGCAATGACGGAAGTTTTCCGTTAGAGCCCTGTTCAGTGACAGGTGCTGAGCAAACCCAAGACTGGATATTAATTCTTTATTCCCAATTTGTCTTACTCAGCATCACCCTGCACTTCAAAATCTCTTGTCCGGCTTCACCTGCTTTCAGTTACTCACCGAGTCCAGTCTTCATGGTGCCGCAGGTGAAGATAGAGATGGAATCTGACCTTGACTTCACAGACGATGAGGGCTATGGGAGAGGGGTGGGCGGGGAGACTACCCTCTAGCACAGGGCTGCTCTCCCAGGCTGGGGACAGCATGAAAGCTGGCCCAGGCTTCATCTAGAGCGTGTGACAAGCCCTTCAATTGCTTCCTCACCCACTGACCAGACACCTGGAGGCCTATCTGCGACGGTCAAGCTCTACTCTTCCCTTTGCAATTATTAAAACATCCCAAACAGAACCACGTGGCTTAAAATGACCAACATAGATATACCCTTTCTCCTGAAACGAACAGAAGTATCTAGTGACTTAGTATCTTCTATTTAAAGTATTTGCTGATTTAGTATCTTTTAAAGGTTAGATTGAAATCTAAGTAACTTGAAGGTCTGAGTGTGCTCTGAAGGTTTGCAAAGTAATAAGTGGCCGAGAATCATTTTGCCTCATTCTGCTTGAAGTTCAGTCCTCTGTCCAGAGGGCCTGGCTCTGGAGGTGTGGCTGGGCTGTCCACACACTGAAAGGCCAGTTCCAAAATTACTAATGGAAGAACCAGTGAATTTTGTTTGAAATCGGAGCTCACTACATACTCTCAGCTGTCCTGGAACTCCCCATGTAGACCAGGCTGGCTCAGAACTCAGGGCTACCTGTCTCTGGGATTGATTAAAGGCCTGAGCCTTAACTTGCTGAGTGGATTAAGACAAAATAGTGCTCATTAACTGGACTCTTAAAACCACATTAGGTTAACCAAATAACCTGTTAAAGCTTGCCACTGGTTTCATAACCTGGAATCCACTTTTTGATGAATCTGAGTAGGTTTCCCCGATCCCTCCCACACACAATTTTTGAAATCACTAAGGCCCAAATTTCTTTTTTCGAGACAGGGATTCTCTGTATTGTTTTGGAGGTTGTCCTGGAACTCACTCTGTAGACCAGGCTGGCCTCGAACTCTGAGATCCACCTGCCTCCACCTCCAGAGTGCTGGGATTAAAGGTGTGGGCCACCATCGCCCAGCAAGGCCCAATATTTTAATTTCACAAACACTGCCTGTTAGGCAGCTAATGTTGGTAATCAAACTAGTATGTTATACAAGTGGTTGGTAGAAACACCATCCCAACTTGAGGTAAGACTGCCCAGCTCTTCGTTGATCCAAACTCTTTCCAAGATAAAGTTGCTTATCTTCCTCTGTTCCAATCCTGGGAGAGCCAACCTACAAGTTTCAAAGCCCCACTGGTCTGTAATAGCACTCTATCCAGATTAAACTGTAGCGTTTTTACAGACTCAGAGGTAAGTGTGCTTCATTAATCAAACGAGCTGAGAAACCAGGTAGCTTTTAAAAGTTTGGTGTAAATTGATCCATGTAATTTTTACCTTAAATATCACTTGTATTTTGTATATACATTAACATTTTAACCTCAGTAGTCTTTAACATGTTGGCATATTCTCCATTCACTTAAATTTTTTCCATTTCTAATGTAAACAGCACTTCAATAAAATTTAATTGTCTGCTTATCTTACACCATATCTAATAACTGAAGGACATCAACAGTCATGTCCTATAGCATGTATCATACCTGACTTATGAAAATATCCCCAGCAAGGGAGCTGGAGTTAGCTCAGTAGTTAAGGGCACTTGCTGCTTTTGCAGAGGACCTGGGTTTGTGTCCCAGCACCCTTGGGATGGCTCGCAACTATTTGAACCCTAGTTCCAGAAGACCTAAGGCCCTCCTCTGGCCTCCACAAGCACTGCGTGCACATGGCACATACATTCACGCAGGCAAATACACATATACATTCAAACAAACAAACAAGGGTAAAGAGTAAAGCCACTGGCAGAAGAATGAGGGAGAGATAGGTCAACACATATGCGTCACCCCTCTCATTTGTCTGGGGTGCCTAAGCAGGAATTGAGTCTTGCAGCCTAAATCCAAACACCCATGAGAACATACCTTCCAGTTTGCCAAGCGACTGCACAGCAGGGATGAATATATCCATTGCACACACAGGTACATGAGTTGAAAAATCTGCAAGCAAGTCCTTTGTAGTGAGTGGTACATGAATGGAGGGACTGGCTTAGAAGATACCCAGTCACTTACATATGTCTTAGATTAATAAACTCTTGGCTTGGAACTCAGTGTTGGGATACAAAAGGATTAGGCTGGTTTCTCCACAGCTACTCATAGAGTAATCTAGGTATAATCTAGGAAGTTAGCCCAAAACATCAGATAGGAAATAGTAGCAAGGTTAAGTCTGAGACAGAAGCAGACAGCATTTCAGAAACTCTTTCCACACCAGACAGATGTGTTTTATTTAGAAACAAAAAGCCAACAGTAGCAACAAAACCCTTTAATAAGAAAATCTGATTAAATCTTAACATTAACTCAAGCTCTTCAGTACCTTTCAGGAAAGCCAACATGGTACATGAAAGACACACAGGCAGCCGCCATCAGTCCTTTGGTGGTGAGTAAGTTCCACCCAACCTGCCCTCATGATTATCACACCCAAGTTTTGTTTTTCAAAACACAGGCCTCAAAGCTTATGTCAAAGAAAACAGACACACACACTCTTAACAGTTGGAAATGTAAAGTTGAAATGTGCTGCAAAAGCCGAACGTGACAATGACACACATCATTTATAAAATGATCTTTTTGATTCTAGAAAACTGAAATAGGGCAAGCTCACAGGATGGTAACAGCAAGTGGGGAAATCCTAAACCTTCCCCAGTGACTCAGTCACAGGGTGACAGCTAGCAATGCTGGGCTTTCCTCTGCCAACCCAGCCAAGTGAGCTCTCCTCAGAGAAACCTGCGCTGACCTGGCGTGCACAGGAAGTAAGGGAGTGCCGTCCTTCTCTTGGTGCTGCCTTTCTTCCTTTCCCCTAGTTTTCTCTAGAAAGTTTTCCTTTGGTTTGAAAGTTGAACTCCGAAGGCTTGGCACCTCAGATGAGTCATCAACTCATTTTGGAATAAATAGCACTTGGGAAATGAGAGCCTAAAAAGGCAGGCTTTTTGATGAAGTTCAGCATCCTTTCTCGGCGTGAGGATGTCTCCCCTGCGTCACCAGGTGACTGGCAGGACACTGATGGGCACCCTGGCGAGGTTCTGCAGAGCCATGCGCACACACATCCACCCGTTTAAGGTTTCAATAAATACAAACATTATTTCAAACCATTTCAACAGAATAAATTAAAAACACTGCATTCCTCTTGGCCCGCTTTGCCTCCCAGACCGGCATGGAGTACAGCTAGTTGGTGGCAACTCCACGCTGCTTGGACTGCAGCACCCCCAGCTCTTCAGGCCTCAGCACTTTCTTTGCAGCAATAATGGTATTCTTCATTAGCATGGCCACTGTCATGGGGCCGACACCCCCAGGGACAGGAGTGATGTAGCCGGCTTTCTTCTTGACCTCTGCGTAGAAACAAGACAGGAAGTCTGCTTCAAATATGTGTGGCAAAGATCATGTATACTTTATCATGTTATGAAAAAAGTATTCAAAGAAAGAACAATAAGAAATGTAAGAGTCGTCATTAGCTGCAAACTACAAAAGACAGACAGCATCTACGGGGTTGGCGAGATGGTTCAGAAGTTCCGGCTGCTCTTGCAGAGGAAGTGGGTTGGGTTCCAGCACCAGCATGGTGACTAATAACCATCCATAACTCCAGTTCCAGGGGATCTGACACCCTCTTCTGACCTCTGTGGGCAGCAGGCACACACATGGTGCACATACATATACATACAACAAACCTTTAATCTCTCTCTCTCTCTCTGTCTCTCCCCCCCTCCCCTCCCCTTTTTTTGGTTTTACGAGACAGGGTTTCTCTGTATTGTTTTAGAGGCTGTCGGTCCAGCCCAGCCTCGAACTCACAGAGATCTGCCTGCCTCTGCCTTCCAAGTGCTGGGATTAAAGGCGTGCGCCACCACTGCCCAGCCCTCTCCCCCCCCCCTTTTTAAAGAAAAATAGCATCTACAGAGCAGGGCAACAGCTCAGTTGTAAAGTACTGTCTGTACAAATGAGGACCTGAGTTCAAGCCTCAGAACCCACATAAAAAAAGCGTGGGGCTGGAGAGATGGCTCAGAGGTTAAGAGCACTGACTACTCTTCCAGAGGTCCTGAGTTCAATTCCCAGCACCCACATGGTGGCTCACAACCATCCGTAATGAGATCTGGTGCCCTCTTCTGGCCTGCAGGGATACATGCAGGAGGAACGATGTATGCATAATAAATAAGATTTATTATGTGGTGGCATGTGCCTGTAACTCCAGTGCTGGGAGATCCCTGGGGCTGGCTTTGGACACACTAGCTAGCAAGTTCCAAGTAAACACTACAAGTCACGAACAACTGAAGATATTCAAGGACACACACACAGTGCCACACAGACATACATAACACACACTCATATATATACAACACAAACACACAACACACACACATATATGCAGCACACATAACACACATATGTAGTACACACATAACACACACATATGTAGTACACACATAACACACATACAACAGACATATAACAGACACACAACACAAACACAACAAACACATAACACAAATAGACACACCCACACAACACACACATACACAACACATGTATACATCACCATTTTCTAAAAAACTGCATGTATAGCCAGGCATGGTGGTACCTCTCAGAGCAATCTTGAAAGACTCTCAGGGTCAACCTTGGGCCTCCACAGACATGCATCCACACATATACAAACACATACTCCTACACACACAGACACACCTTTTTTTTTAAAGTGTTTTAAAAATATTACCAAAATAATATAAGATTAAGAGTTGTGGCCAGGCAGTGGTGGCGCACGCCTTTAATCCCAGCACTCGGGAGGCAGAGGGATCTCTGAGTTCAAGAGCCTGGTCTACACAGTAGGTCCCTGGTCAGCCAAGGCTATCTTGCCTCAAATAATAAATAAATAAATGAATAAAGTGAAAAGAAAATAATCTGTTCTAAATGTCATGAAATGTAATATTTACAAGATTTGTTTAAAAAAAGAAAAAAAAGACACTAAATACCTTCAAAGTCTACATCTCCAACCAACTTGGGCTTTGCAGTGACAGGATCCTGAACTCTGTTTATGCCCACATCGATGACTGTTGCCCCTTCCTTGATCATGTCAGCTGTGATCAGATTTGGAATGCCTGGCAACAGAGAACAACCATCACTAAGGCAACATACCATTTAAAATTTTTATTTATTTTAGACTTACTGACTTTATGTATAGAAATGTTTTGCTTGAATGTATCTATATGTACTATGTGCCTGCAGTGCCCACGGAGGCCAGAAGAGGACATAATAGCCAGAGGGCATTACAGGCAGGTGACCGGAAGAACAGCATTAACTAAGAACCATTAAGCTTCACATGGAGATACTGAGGGTAACCCTCCTCCAGTCTAAACAGAGTGACAGGTACAACTGTAACCCCAGCCCCATCTTTGTAGGCAGCTTCTAGAATCACTGCTGAGGAGAGCGGGGCAGGATAGCAGTTGGGCAGGTGTATATATAGGTGACGAGTCAGCCTATATATACACTTCTTCAGAGCTCACCGGCGGCCGATATCACAATGTCCGCAAGGATCGTGTGCTTCTTCAGCTGTTCTTTGGGAGTGTATCGGTGAGATATTGTAACTGTGGCATCACCTGAGAGGCAAAAACACAGGCCCTGAGTCCCAAATCCAGGCTGGGATGAAGGTGGGTTTCAGCTATTCACAGCACCGCAGAGACTCAACACCTCTGGGAAATCATGGACTTGGCACAATTTCTAAGATGGCTAATTGTCATTTATTTTTAAAAACCAATACTTAGGACAGAGAGATGGAGTAAACGTGCTTGCCATGCATTCCTGACAGCTTGAGTCCATCCCTCAGAACTCAAGGCAGAAGAGAACACACACACACACACACACACACACACACACACACACACACACACACGTAAATGATAAATGAAGTTGGTCACAAAAGTTCATTATTACAGAAATTTCATGAAATTCTTGACTTAGTCAGCTTCTTAGATGAGCCAACAGAACATGACGTGACACGCTGCAGTCATGTCAGTTCACTCTTCTGCAGGGGCCTGCAGTGTCTTCTCCTCCCAGAGGACACCAGATCTGAGTGAGAAAGCTTCTGGTGCTGTCCACGCTGGAGCTGACCACACCTAACCCTACAACATGCTTCACTCAGGACTCCAATCAGCCCCAGGCTAGTTCCAGGGTCCGTGTGGCACTGAGTGTAGCCTTCCACACCATGGTTGTTTTCTGTGTTAACAGTGGACACAGGCTAGGTTTTGAGGGTTCTCCCACAACAGCAATGGTAACTTCCTTACCTCCAGGCCGTTCGTGTGCTCCATCAGTGTGCAGCAACATTGCAATCGGCATTCCAACGTTTTTTGACCTGCCGGCTACAACCACGTTCTTCCCTAAGGTTGGGATGCCTGCAAAAATAAAAAATAATATATAAACACACACACACCCACACACACCATCTGTGTATACATCAAATGAATTGGCACAGATACCAACTCTGAATAAATACAATCAAAACAATGTCTAAAAATGTCTCATTGCCTACAAGCATGCTTTACCCAGAACTTGACTTTCTTTGGAGCTAGTTCCATAACAAGTTACTCATTCACACATATAGAGTTGCGTTAAAAGTGGTCCTGGTCTGTCTCAGAATATACAGCAGAGGAGGCACACATCCTAGGTCATGAATCTAATCACTATCAGCCAGTCAGAGCTGGGGCTGCCTCATAGAGAAGGTGCAGAGAACACAGAGAAGGCACACTGTCAACTGTAAAATATCTTATAGATTCTTGCTGTCATCCCTGTTAAACCTTAGATTCCCTCCAAGGCTTGTAGAATAGAGAGCCATCATAAGCAACAGCTAGGAGCTGAGCCCTGCAGGGTGGGAACCTGGGCTGGAGTGGGGGCCCACTCTTTGCTGCTGGGGGGAGGGGTTCTGCCAGTTATAAGAACAGGTTGAGCATTCCTTTCCCTGAAGTATGTGGGGCTGGGAATGTTTCAATATTGGAGTTACTCGGATGTGGGAATATCTGCATAGCTCTCACTCCAGAAACAATCTAAAATTAACAGTGCTGAAAGGGTTTCAGATTTTCAGATCAAGGATACCCAACCTAACCTACTTCCCTAATGCTAAAGCAGAAATGCAACTGAAAACACACCTACCTGTTCGCTTAATTATCTCCCACACGCCCCACGGGGTGGCTGGTAGCATGGAATACTGGTCCAAGCACATTCGCCCCACGTTAATGACGTGAAAGCCATCAACATCCTTGTCAGGAGAAACGGCATTGCAGATCTTCCTCTCATCTATGTGCTCTGAAAAAGAAATCAGGGCTGCAGCCTGAGGTCCATGCTGTGAGGGAAAGGCTGACCTGCTCCAGTGTATCAGGCTTGTTACACGAACCCACTCCCTTCTGACGTGACATCATGATGTCCAGAAAGACTGCACATTAAGCAAAGCCATGAGTCAAATACCAGTCAATGTGCCCCCCCTTTTACATCAAGATCTTAGCAGGCTAGGAGGAATGACTCATATCAGTTACCCCAGCACTGGGAAGGCTGTGGCAGGAAGACTGCTGTAAGTCGGAGGCCAGCCTGGTCTACACAGTGCAACAGTGAGCACTTCCTTAAGCACTTCAAATAGCAGCAGAGCCCCTCTACTGCTCAGAATTCATTAACCTTTTTTTAATTTTTAAAAATCATTTTAGTTTTATGTGTATGGGTGTTTTGCCTGCATGTATGTATATACCAAGTCTGTGCCGGGTACCCATGGAGGTCCGAAGTGAGTATCAGATCCCCTGAAACTCGAGTTATGGGCAGTTGTGAGCCACCATGTGGGTGCTGGGAATTGAAGCTGGGTCCTCTGGAAGAACAGTCAGTGCTCTTAACCATAAAACTATCTTGCAAGCCCAAATCCCTTTTCTCACCTGGGAGTGGCAGCTGAACAAGGAGGCCATCTACGTTTTCATCATTGTTCAATTTCCTGATTGAACTCAATAGCTCTTCCTCTGAAACTGAGGCTGGTTTCACAATTGTCTCGCTGTTGATCCCTATTGTAAGAAAGGTCAAGGCTTAAAAAAAAAACAAACACCAAAGTATACAGCTCCAAACCGTAGGGATGAATAAAGACTAAGTTCTTCTCTGGGGAAAAATAAAGAACAACGAAGTCCTTAATGCCATAGGTAACGCGCGACCACCGTGAGGGCTAGAGTGAACTGCCCACAAGGATCCCTCCAGCTTCAGATCGTACACTCCTAAACACTAGCCCGAGGCTCGCTGTGCACTAGTCTGTTCTTCTTCAACAGCCTCACTGAGACAAAGAAGGAGCCTGAGACCCAGATAAGATGCCAGCGAGAAGGGCAGGAGAAATGGCTCCGCATGCTTGCCGAGGAGCCAAGTTTGATCCCAAGCCCCCATGTAAAAGCCGGGCACACCTGCACACATCTGTAACCCCAGTGATTTGGCAATGAGATTGGAGGATTTTCGGAGCCTGTTGGCCAGACTGTCTCCAGTGAGAGACCCTGACTCAAAATATAAGGTGAAGAGTAAACATACACATACTAAATAAACAAACAAGCATAATAACTGTTATGAATTTTTAAAAGAGCATCTCTGTCTCAGGTGCTTAAGCATTAATGGGAAAGATTGAGCAGGCCTCTGTGGCACAGCTCATAGGTCTGAAGGAAATGACTGTCCAACTAAGGAAGTGGTTTTTGAGTTTTTTACTGACTGGCTTTATAAGCATGAGTAGCTCAGGTGTTGGGGGATGGGAGATCTGTGGCTTTGTGCTTCAGGCATTGCAGATTACCATATGACAGCAAGTTGGAGGCGGCTGGCTCAGATGCTCATGTGACAGTCAGTGGTCTGAGCACCTGGAGCCTCCCTTCTGATGTGGCTGGGCTGAAGGACCAACCCATGAGCCTTCTCACTGACCCAAGACAGAGACAGCTATTGCTCAGGGGAAGCCAATGTGAAATGTGTTCAAGGTCACTGACAAACTGTTCCTGCTAAGGACAGAATCGAGATTACAGCCCTCTAGTTTTTTTGCTTTGTATTTTAGATTTGGGAGACAGGGTCTCATATAGTCCAAGATGACCTCAGACTTGCTATATGGCCAAGCTGGCCGTGAATTCCTGTCCTCCTGACTCATTGTTCCAAAGTGCCTGACTCATTGTTCCAAAGTGCCGGGATTGTGGTAGGAGCCGTCACTTAGGACTCTGCTCAGAAAGAGGAACCATGTACCGGTGTGGCCTTGCCTCCAGACAGACTTCCAGGAACCAACAGAAGGGCCCTGACAGTAACACTTACCCACTTCAGCTGCTGCCCTGGTTTTGTTGAGAACATAGGAGTGGCTGGCAGGGTTGTCACCAACCAGAATGACACTGAGATGTGGCCGCTTGTGGCCTGAGGCCACCCACTCTTCCACCTCCTGTCGCACTTCTTGCTTGATCTGCTGAGCCAGTTTCCTTCCAGAAATGACAACAGCTTCGTTGCTGCAGAAGGTGACAAAGTTACAAAAATATAATTTTGGGTCTTTGCAAAAAGAAGGAAAAAAAAAAAAAAAGGAATGCTCCAACTAGAAAAAGTGTCATTCAACACCAAAAGGCTTAGGTTTAAATGTGAGATCTGGAGGCAGATTGACGGGTGCCATCTGCTACCAGTTCAGGATGGCCAGCGATTAAAACAGTTCCGTGGAAACTCAGTTTAAGTTGCTGACAGCTGACACTGGCCAGGTAAGATTTCAGACCCAGGGTCTCTCAGTGCCACCGACGCAATACTGATATTCCTTTTGAAATTTTTGTTATACTGGTGGTATTGCTATTACTATCTGGTCACGTTTCCCAGGTAGTAGACTGATTTTCTTTTCCTTTTCAAAAAGACTAACTTGTTTTTATTTTGTATGTATAGGTATTTTGCCCGCATATATGCATATGTATCATGTTCCTGCAGTGCCTGAGGTCAGAAGAGGGGGATCTGACCCTCGGGAACTGGAGAACAACAGATGATTTTGAGCTGCCATGTGGGCATTAGGAATAGAACCTGGGGTCCTCTGCAATAAGAACAAGTGCTCTTATCCACTGAGCAATTCTCCAGCCCCACTGAACTGTATTATACAGTACTATATAATACAACTGTCCCTCTTTAAGTACTGGTTCCAAGATGCCTTCTCCACCTACAGCTGGTCAAGTTCCTTATAGAAAATAGTGCAATATTTGATAATCTTTGCACACACACCCCACCCCTTAAATTACCTATAGCTTGCTTACAAACCTACCACAGCGCAATTCTGTATGAACAGTTGTTATATAATATACTGTTGATGAAATAACAAGAAATAAAGGTTCGTGTATTTTTAGAATGATTCAGAGGCCTTGGTTATATACAAACTATATCATGTGGTTAGTAGATCAATAAGCACCACACTTGGCAAGTCAAACCTCAGAATACCCGCCACTTCCCAGTTCCTTTCAGGGACTGTTCTGATATATGAGGGCATGAGGGTTAGTATTGCCAACTTGGAAGAATCTAGAATCACCTGGAAGATGGGCCTTTGGACATGCCAGTAAGGTATCATCACCTTGAGTGCTTTAATTGAGCTATGGGTGGCACCATTCCGACTGGGATAGAAAGAAAAGGAGAAGCCCAAGGATGGTGGTGTACAACACCTTTAATCCCAGCACTTGGGAAGCAGAGGCAGGTGAATCCCTGAGCTGGAAGACAGCCTAGGCTACAGAGGACAGCCAGGGCTACACAGAGAAACCTTGTCTAGAAAAACAAAACAAAATAAAAACAAACAAAAAACTGAAGAAAAGGAGTAGCAAGTATCTTCCCTCCATTTCCTAACTGTGGATGCTACCAGCTGCCTAGACCTCCCACCACGATGAACTATAACCTTGAACTGTTGCTCTTGTAAGGGTATTATCACAGAAGCAAGTAACTAAGACTGGGGTAGTGGCTCCCAAGTGGCTCTCTGCTTCACCCCACCATCCACTCACAGCTGACGACAAAGTTACCCTTGGCTACACAGCTAGTCCAAGGTCAGCCTGAGAACACAAGACCCTGCAAGGGGAGGGAGGAGGAAGATAATACATGTTAATGAGGAACTGCACACTCATCTATTTGCACATCTGTAACAAGGATTTAGCTTGTACTTCATAAAAACTTTCTTTGGACAGCAGTAAGTGCAGAGGAAACAGCAGATGCCCACTTGGACCAAAAATCCACAGTGGTCTGAAGTTAAGATGCAGGGCTCTGGAAAAGCCAGTTTCAGGTCTTAATCTCTGCTGCAGAGGGAGGTTTTGGATGTTATGCCAATTTACTTTAAAAAAAAAAAAAAGGACAAAGTAACACAAAGCCAGGCCACAATGTAATGAAGACTTTTTATAAGCCAACTACATTCATTTTAACCCTCTGCTGCTTCCTGCACGAGCCATTTGACAATTCCCTCCATCTCTTTGCCAAGGGGCAAATTAAATCACTGCTTAAAGGGAGATAGGAGACTGAGCTCCGACCCAAAACTAGGGGGGAAAAAAAGCCAAGAGGAAATTCTTTTTTTTTTTTTTTTTTTTGAGACAGGGTTTCTCTGTGGCTTTGGAGGCTGTCCTGGAACTTGCTCTGTAGACCAGGCTGGCCTCGAACTCACAGAGATCCGCCTGCCTCTGCCTCCCGAGTGCTGGGATTAAAGGCTTGTGCCACCAACGCCCGGCCCGCCAAGAGGAAATTCTAAGCCTGTATACTTAACTTAGATATTAAATTCTTCCACAGACATGTTTAGAAATTTTCCTACTAAAATGACAGACTAGAAAGAAGTCTAATAAAAGTCAAAACAAATAAAATATCCAAGTCAGTAATATTTATTTTCCTCTTAAACCAACAGTTAGTGATTTTCCAGTCAATATCAGGGAAGTTTATAACTACCAATCAACTTATTTTGGAAAAAGTTCTGCTACTTAATTAACGAGAAGGGGGGTGAAATCAACACTGAACACTAGGTATTTTGCCAACATCTTTACATAAATTACTCTTGGTTATCGTGCTTATTTATAAAAACCCTGTTTTATACAGAAAACAGTAAGAAACAAGATTCAAGTGTAAACATCTGCCACGAAGTTCATTTACTCCTCTACCCACCGTCTCCTAGGTTACAGTACTCTCCCTTCAACCATGGAGTTTATGTTCCTGAAACCCTGGGACAACAAAGTGGACACTGCAATTATCTAATGTGCAGGGCAGTTGGCACAGATTGTCTACGGAGATACAGAGCCTACACTTCTCAGAATAGCAGGCAAGAGTAAACCGCAGGGCAAGCAAACTGGTCTAGCTCTTTGGGTAATGAATTACAGGATCTTTTCAGTTAGCCAGGTATCTGAACATGTATGTGGTCCACAGCCACGTGCGATCAGAACTCAGGAAGAGGAAAGGGAGAAAGGACAGAGAATTGGAAGATGGAGCTCAAAGAGGCAGGTCAGGATCAGATCTCGGAAAACCTGAATAATGTCCCTCCAAACCCTCAGCATGGAGCCGGGCGGTGGTGGTGCTCTCCTTTAATCCCAGAGGCAGAGGCGGGAGGCAGAGGTGTGCAGGTCAGCCTGGTCTAAAAAGCTACAGAGAAACCCTGTCTCGAAAAATTAAACAAAACAAAACAAAATCTCAGCATCCTGTGTTCCAACATGCAGGACCCGGAAATATCTTCCAACGGGTGGAAATCTCACCTGCTTTCTCTTCAACAGGAACAAAAGTCCCATTGTGGAAGGCAAAGTTTTTATCAGCTCTAAATTTTCAGTCTCAAACTCTGTGATGTGTTGGGGGAGGGGGCACCACACAAAACCAGCTTTTACAAGACACAGGATTCAGGCGATGCAAATGCTTTAAGAAGCATTGCAAAATGCACAGATGTGGGGGAAGAAATCACAACCCCCCATTGGGTCTCCCCACCTAGGCTCAGAAATGGGAGTTTGAGGTCCAGAAAGATCCGACAAGTCAATTATCCTCCGAAGGAAATGCAAACAGAACTTTCCCTGCCTTCCCCATCAGATTTTTTTTCCTTCAATCAACTTACTGGGGGAGGGGGGATTCATTTTTCAACTTTTAAAAATTAATGTACAATACGTATACGAAATGTATCATTGTGACTTTTTGTGACTTAATCCCCCTGCCTCAGAAACAATCTCAACGCGCCCGCCTCTGGCAATTTTCAAGCATACAGTTTACGTGGTATTGAACACTCTCAGAATGGTGTGACCACTACGGCAGTCCACGTGCAGAACGGAAGCTCCAATACTGCAGCTCCCCCTAAAACAATGCACCTCCCAGTCCCAGTACCCCCCAGCAACTTTTGGGACACATATCACCTCAGATCGCCCAGGTTAGAACTGGTAGGCTACCGAGTGGACTGGGGGGAACCACCGCGGGGCAGGGGCATCATGCGAACCACACCCACTCGGGAGGAGGAAAGTCGGTACCCCTGGAGCAAGCCGGCTCGCAGATTTCATCAGACTGCAGCAACCCCGGCGGCCGCTAGGGTCCGGAAAAGGCGGACCGCTCCGCACCCTTCCCTGCGGCGGCGGAACGATGTCCTCCGGACTAGCGACCGCATCTCCACGTGTACCCCGGTGCCACGTCGCCCCACCACACCCCTCCGTTAGCGGCCGGTCGCACGCCGGAAAGATGCTCGGGGAGGGAGGAGGACATCTGTCCACGACGCGCTCCGCGGACCCGCTACCCGACACACTCACCGCACTGCCGCCAGGTGGAAGGGTTGCAGGCGCGAGTGGCAGCCGTGCGCGGGGCGCAGCAACCGCACAGCCAACGCGGATAACAGAGAGGATGAAGCCATGGCCCGCGCCGGTGCCCGCGCCGGAGAGAAGCGCGCGCGCGGGCCACGAAGCTATACCTCCGGCCCGCGGAAGCCCCGCCTTTCCATACTCCCATTGGTCCCTGAGCCGGGGGAGGAGCCAATAGGAGGTCTCCATTCTACGTAAGCCGGGCAGGACCACGTTCTGATTGGCTGAAGGAGTCAAGCCCCTAACAGAGGCAGCAGAGGTTTCCCCCCCCCCAGCCAGGCCAACCGAATCTGGGGTTCGTTCGTTTGTTCGTCCGTCTGTCCGTCCGTCCATCCATCCAACAAAAGTCTAAACCACCAACTGTGTGCCGAGGATCTGAAAGACACTAAAGTAATATTTTTTTAAAAGAAAAAAATCACCATTTGGCAAAATCATACTTAAAATTTATCCGGAATTACCGAGCAGTGGTGGTGCACTCCTTTAATCCCAGCACTCAGGAGGCAGAGGCAGGCGGATCTCTGTGAATTCGAGACCAGTCTGGTCTACAAGACCTAGTTCCAGGACAGCCTCCAAAACCACAGAGAAACCCTGTCTCGAAAAACCAGGAAACAAAAATTGATCCGGAATCACCAAAGGATATCAAAACAACTGGGTCAAACTGAATAAGGAGCAAAATACATGTGCGTTTGTCACATAGAGGCTGGAGAGATGGCTCAGCAGTTAAGAGTGCTTATTGCCTTTGCAAAGGACCCAAGTTCGATTCTAAGCCTCCTAGTGGCTACAAACCTCTTGTAACTCCAGAGGATCAGAAACTTCTGGCCTCCAAGGGCACCCTTACACACACATGTGGCACACAAATATACATACATACATACATACATACATACATACATACTTACAGAGGATCAGACACTTTCTGACCTCCAAGGGTCTCCCATGCACACATACTTAAAAACATTTTTTGAAAAGCTTAAGGGGGTTGGAAAGATGGCCCAGAGGTTAACCGCACTTGACTGCTCTTCCAGAGGTCCTGAGTTCAAGTCCCAGCAACTATATGATGGCTCACAACCAACTGTAATGGGATCAGATTCCTTCTTCTAGTGCGCATAAAGAAAGAGCTCTCATATGCATAAAATACATAAATAAAGCCGGGCGTTGGTGGCGCACGCCCTTAATCCCAGCACTCGGGAGGCAGAGGCGGGCGGATCTCTGTGAGTTCAAGGCCAGCCTGGTCTACAGAGCGAGTTCCAGGACAGCCTCCAAAGCCACAGAGAAACCCTGTCTCGAAAAACCAAAAAAAAAATACATAAATAAAATAAATATTCCTAAAACATAAAGTTTTCCATAGGAACTGGAAAAAAGGCTCAATGGCTAAGAGCATTGGCTGAGGACCAGATTCCATTTCCTGCACAAGTATAGCTGCTTACACATCCCTGTAGGCAAAACACATAAAATGTAAAAATGGGGGGGGTTTGGACTGTAAAGAACACAACATAATCTTTAAAAAAGTTTTTTAACTTAATGTTTTATGTGTACGTGTGTTTTACCTGCATGGCTATGCACTGCATGAATGCCTGATGCCTATGGAGACCAGAAGAGGACATTGGATCCCCCAGAACCAGGTTATGGACGGCTGTGAGTCGTCCCGTGGTTGTTGGGAACTGAAGTCTGGGTCTCTAAAGAGCAGCAGGTGCTCTTAATTGCTGAGCCACCTCTCCAGCTCCATAGTCCTTTTTTTTTTTATGAACAAAGTTAGCATTATCATTCATGGGACAAAGACATATTCTGTGGCCCTGATATGAGGCACTGACAAAAACACATCACTTGATAGTTTTTTAAAAATCTGAAAATTAATTTAGAGACTTTCCTAAACTAGTAAGTGTCCCATGGATTTAGAGTGAGCTGGGAGACACACTTCTGGGTGTGTCTGTGAGAAGTTTAACTGAGGAGGAAAAGTCCTCCTATCCCATGGACTGGGGACTGGAGATCAATAAAATGGGGAAAGGAGAAAGCCTGCCTGTGTTCCCCCACTCTGATTCCCCATCTATTGAGATGTGAGGCAGCAGCCTCAGGCTCCCATTACCACAGCTGGGAGCTCATCTGCCTCCCCCACAACAGTGGGCTCTATATCCCCCAACTACCTGCTAGTATGAATGCTTCTACCCTTAGGTTCCATCTTGTCAGGTAGACAGTCACAACAACGAGAAAATTAACTAATACATTCCCTAAAAATTACTAGACATTTCTTGTTTCTATGTGAAGAAGAAAGATCATAGACTTGGACAATAAACACTATCCAGCAAAAGAAAAATATGTTCCTGAAACTTTGGAATAAAACAGATGATCTTAATCTACACACAAGGAGATATCAAACAAGTCACCGTATGAGGTGTGCCAATGACAGTCTTCAAAAGTGCCAAGATCATGGTAAATGAGATGTTCCAGATTCAATTTCGTGATCATAAAATACAACTTGTGAGTCTGAATTGAATCCTGGACACACACACACACACACACACACACACACACACACACACACACACAATTTAAAGACTCTTATAATTTTTTGTGTGGTTTTTCAAGACAGAGTTTCACTGTGTAGCCCTGGCTATCCTGGAACTCTCTCTGTAGACTTGGCTGGCATTGAATTCACAGAGATCCATTTGCCTCTGCCTCCCATGTGCTGGGATTAAAGGTTTTCGACACTGCTGCTCACCAACTATTACAATTTTAAAAACACAAAAAAGAAAGAAAGAGAGGGGGGGAGGGGAGAGGAGGGGAGGGGAGAGAGAGAGAGAGAGCCTAAGATAGTGCTTCACACCTATAACCCCAACACTGAGGAGACTAAGACAGGAAAATCACCACCAGTTCAAGGCCTGCGTGGGCTATGTAGTGAGTTTCACATCAGCCTGATTTACAGAATGAAACCTTATCTCATACAAACAACGACAAAAATAAAAATAGCCAAACAACACAATGAGTTGAAAGGGGACACACTTTTTATGACAGTGTACATTCATGAGGACACGTAATTAGATAAAACAGAGAGCAAGTATGAGTTAGCAGCAATTGGGAATCTACAAGTATTCTCTGCACCTTGCCAGTCACCTTTCTGTATGTCTGAAATTATCTCAAAAATAAAAAAAATAATATTCTGTGCTTTTGAGGCTTGGGGTGAGACACATATACTATGAAAAAGAAAAAAGCCAGCCTAAGAAAAAGGGTGTGGCTTTGAGATCCCACAAGACAGTGGGGATGAAAAGTTGTATGGGCCCAAGTACGGCCTGCAGGTCATGTGACTCCACACTATGACTCTCAGAACCCATCTCCAGCTAGCCTCCAGCAGGTGGCATCTTCTGATTATCTGGACTTGCATAGCTGTGAAAAGGGCAGCGAAAAGGGGCGCCCTGCTTCAGAAAAGCCGAGCTAGGGTCACTTCTCTTCCAGGGTGGCTGCTGGTGGGGCACAAGCCTCAGCAGATGACACCACCCACTTCTGTGTGTATGTGGGCAGCACTAATTGGATTCAGGGGACTATTACGGGGTGGGGGGGGAGAGGAAGAAAAAACATGGAGTTGGGCAGGAGATGTGTTGGAGGGAGGGAGTCAGGGTGGATATGATCAAGATACATGATACACGCGTGTGAAATTTGGATTGCCAGTACCCACATGTTGGCTCATAACATCCTTAACTCCAGTTCTAGGAGAGCTGGTGTTTCATGAACGCCAGTCACTTATGTGGCAGACATAGATACATGCAGGCAAAACACTTGTACACATAAAATACATACAACTAGAAATTCTTTAAGAAAAACAGCTGGGTGGTGGTCACATGTACCTTTAATCCCAGCACTCAAGAGACAGAGGCAGGGAAATATCCAAGTTTGAGGCCAGCCTGGTCTACAGAGTGAGTTCCAGGACACAGAGAAACTCTACCTCAAAAAAAAAAAAAACCAAATCAAAAACAAAAATATTTAAGAAGAAAATTTAAAATAAAATTAAAGAAGGCTAACCTTCTCACCTCCTTGCAAAATGTTGAAAGTTTTCCCAAAATATGAAATTTTAAAAGTATATCTGAATGTCTTGTATATATGTACTTTTAAATTTATTTTTGTGTGAATGCATGTATGTATACTTGTGTCTGTGTGTGTCTGTGTGTGTGTGCAGGCTAGAGATCAACATGGGGTGTCTTCCTCACTTTATTTTATTGTGTATATACGTGTATGCGTGTGCTGTATATTTTAGGGTGCTCCTATGGGAGCATGAGGAGGCCAGAATAGGCCATCCATCAGATACCCTTCCATACCACACTCTGCCTTATTCTCTTGAGATAGGGTACCTCACTGAAGCTGAAGCTAGGATGATTAAACTTCAGTGATCCTCCTGTCTCTTCCCTCAACAGCTTTAAGGCTACAGGTGCATGCACAACCACAACATGGGTATTGGGCATGTGAGCTCAGATCCTCATGCTTGTATGGGTGGTACTTCATTATTGACTGAGTCAGCTGTCCAACCCCTAGTTCGTCTGTCCTTCCTTCCTTCCTTCCTTCCTTCCTTCCTTCCTTCCTTCCTTCCTTCCTTCCTTTTCTTCCATGCAGTGTTGAGGATGGAACCCAAGGCCTCTCACATTCCATTCCAGACAAGTGCTCTACTATCATGAGACAGAAAGAGAGAGGGAGAGAGAGAGAGAGAGAGAGAGAGAGAGAGAGAGAGAGAGAGAGAGAGAGAGAGAGAGAGAGAGAGAGAGAGTTAGTTTTGCTTTGTAACCCAGGGTCTGGCCTCAAACTCCTGATCCTCTTGCCTCAGTCTGCTGATAGTTGGGATTACAGCCGTGCCCCACCACACCTGGCTTCCTGGCATGGATTTTTAATATGCTTAGTAAAATACTTGCTTCTGCTTCCCAAAGTATTATATTTGACTGTCATTTGTTTAGCAAAAATGCTCCTTAGCCAGTTTTTATTTTACCTATTATTTCTTTTTTTTTGGTTTTTCGAGACAGTGTTTTTCTGTGGCTTTGGAGGCTGTCCTGGAACTCGCTTGGTAGTCCAGGCTGGTCTCGAACTCATAGAGATCCGCCTGCCTCTGCCTCCCGAGTGCTGGGATTAAAGGCGTG